CCCCGCAAGCGGGGACTCTTCTCCTTCCTGGAGGTGTTCCGCCTCCGGCGGGCCCTCCTGCACAGCCCATAGCGGGCCGGGCCGGGCCGGGGCCGGGGCTGGAGCCGCCGGGGAAGAGCCCCCGACCCCACCCCCGACGCCGGCCCCAGCCCCGGCTCCAGCCCCGAGCGCGGCCCCGGCGGGGCGGGAACACGCCCGGCCCCGCCCCTCGCGCCTCGCCCCGCCCCAGCGGCCGGAAGGGGCGGGGCCGGGCGTGACGTGGCGGGATGGCGGAGTCCTACGTGAAGCCGGGTAAGGGGGCGCGGGGCGCGCGCGGCACTTCCGGTGCGGTGGGGGGGTCCCGGTGGCGGGACAGTGCGGGTCCGTGCGGGTCCGTGCGGGTGGGACCGCGGGGCCGCGTCCCGGAGATCGGCCCGTCCGGGGGTGGGTGTGTGGGGGGACGCCGGGGCCGTGCCGGGTGTGGGGAACGCCGGGAGGGGCGTGCCGGGGGTCCCGCCTGGCGCGGGGACCTCTGGAGCTCGTCCGGTCTCACCGCGCCCTTCCCCGCTGCAGGGAACCGGGAGCGCGGCTGGAACGACCCCCCCCAGTTCTCGTATGGGCTGCAGGCGCAGGCYGGGGGCTCCCGCCGGACCCCGCTCACCCGCCGGGCTCCCCCCCCGCCCGCGGGGGCACCCCCAGGTCAGCACGGCGGAGCCCCCGCCAATCCCTCCCGCTGCCCGGCCAGGCCCGGCCGAGCCCCAGGGGCCGCTCCTCTGCAGCCCGGAACTGCCGCCCGGCTTCCCGAGCCGCGGTGCTGGGGCAGCGGAGCCGGGGCTCCGACCCCTCCTTYTGTGGGGCTCGGTGCCGGCTGGGTCCGAGCTGACGGGCCCGGCGCCACCGGCTCTGCCCCGCAGGTGCCCCCCCGGAGCCGCCCAGTGCCCCCGCTGACCCCGCAGCGCCGCCCCCCCGGGCGCTGGGGCCGCCCCCGCAGGGTCCTGTCGGCGCTGCCCCGCGGGCCGAGGGCCGGCAGAGCGCGGCGTGCCCGGAGCAGGAGGAGTGCAGCGTGTCCGCCGACACCGTCCTCGCCCCGCTGCGGGCAGCCCTGGACGCCTGCCGGGCCACGGTGCAGGTGAGGCCGCGGCCCCTCCCGCCACCTCTGACCCCGCGGTGCAGGAGAGGCGGCTGCCGGGGCAGCCAGGCAGGGACCGCCGGTTCCCAGGAGACCTGAGGGGGGAAGAGAGCCGCCCCTGCCCCGGGGGCTCTCCAGAGCTGGTGGGGGCACGTCCCCCTCGCTCCCAGCTCACCTCTGCTTCCAGAAACAAGTGTGCAATGACATCGGGCGGCGGCTGACAGTGCTGGAGGACGCGTGGGCTCAGGGGAAGCTGTCAGCACCAGTGAGGAAGAGGATGAGCCTCCTGGTGCAAGGTATGGGGTGAAGGGGGCTGCACCTGYGCCAGCAGCAGGTCCTGGGGCAGAGGCACCCACAGGATGGTGGATCTTGTGCCTCTGACGGGGTCACCTGTCCTGGCAGAGCTTCAGCAGCAGCGCTGGGATGCGGCTGATGAGATCCACCGCTCACTCATGGTGGACCACGTGAACGAGGTGAGCCAGTGGATGGTGGGCGTCAAGCGCCTGATCGCGGAGAGGCGGGACCTGCCCACCGGAGAGACGGACAGCGCTGACACCGAGACCACAACCGAGACCACGACAGAGACCGAGCCGGGGCAGGAGGAGCCCTGACACCAGGGACGGGGCTGTGGACTGTGAGCGGGGCAGCCCCTGCCCAGGGCCACCGGCAGGAACAGGGCCCCTGCTGCTGCAGGGCAGGGTCTGGGCACCCCCTCTGCCTCCCAATCCTCATCCAGGAAAAGGGGATTTTAATCATTGCGACATTTTAGTGGCGATTCATTATGTTTAATAAACAACACYAACCTGCCCCCTCCCACAGTCTGCCTGAGGGTTCTGGCACTGACCAGTCTGCGGTTTCCCAGGGTCAGCAGGAGATGGGATTGCTGGGTGGGGCCATAGCCAGGGGCTCTGGCCCGGGCAGGGTGCTCTTAGCCAAGAGGATGTCAAAGGAAGAATCCTGCTGCACTGGCTGGCAAAGCTTGGCCCTCACCTAGAGCAGCCTCAGGGCCCAGCCCTGCTGCAGGAGGGTTAGGCTGGCTGGGGAGGCCAATGTGCCACAGCCCCTGGCCATGAGCAGGGTTTGTGCTGCAGCCACAGCCCCGGCTCCCATCTGGGCTCTGACTGTCGTGGCGCAGCTCAGACCTGAGTATGGAACYCAAGAGACCTGGGTGACCTCAGGGACAGGGATGTCCAGGGACAGACACATGCCCAGGTGATAACTGCTGTTGCCCCCACAGTCATGGGATGGCCTCAGCAGCTCCCTCCACCACAGCTGAGAATAGACCCCCACACCTTCACCACCCCCCACCTGCAGTTCACCCTCTACCCCCTTCTGGTGCTCCTCACTCCCYTCTCTGCGGGGSGAGAACCCCAYKGAGCCCTGACAAAGACACACACCARGTTAGCACAGGGGTTTCACGGTGTTTATTGATCAAGCATGAGCTCCTAGGCAATTGCACCAGCCACTTGTGCTAGAGCCTGAGGTGTCACACGTCCATCCCCAGCATCAGAGAGGGCTGCAGCCAGCTGGTCACGGTGCCAGCACCTCCACGAGGCCCAGGAACAGGCCCAGCCATGGCCTGGAGATGGGGAGCTGGAAACTCAGATGTCCATCTCAAATTGGTCTTGATCTGCAAAAGCATGGATGCATAGAGGACCAGGATTAGGACTGGGCTGCCTTGGCAGACAGGAGCAGGCAAAGGGGGCRGGAGCTGGAACTGGGGCTCGGTTGAGATCTCTCCTTGCCCCATGCCCCAGGCAGGTGGTCTGTGGGCAGGGGGTGCGGCCTGGGCTGCTCACCTGGCATGGCCTCTTTGCTCTCATTCCGCTCCTTGAGCTCCTCCAGCTTGACGAGGCTGGACTGGGCCAGGGATGTGACACCGGGGGTCTGGGGCAGGCAGCAGGGAGGGGTCCTGGCCGCGGGTGAATTCTTGCACTCCAGCAGGAACTTGCGGTCGCAGATGATGCGGGTACCTGCCAAAAGCGGGGGGGGTGTCAGGCACTGCTGGCCTTGGCCACCCCYGTCCCTGAGCACCTCAGCCCGGGGCAGGGGTGGGCCCCAGTGCTCGGCCATGGCTCAGAGACATCTGGCTCTGGAGCCACCACGGGACTTCCCACAAGGCAGCCTGTGACACCCAACCTKCCCAGCAGCTATTCTCCCCTTCAGGCTCCTGGAGCTCTGCACGGTGCAGCACAGCAGGTCCAGCCTCCAAAGGGCTACCCCATGGTGGCCAATACAGGYCATCCCTGCGCTGCCTGGAGGGCAGAGCCAGTCCTGGGGTACACAGTGAGGCCCCAGCCTGGTGGCCAGGCAGCAGCAGCTTTGTGTGGTGGGCACCCTGGGGCCCTGCTCCCATCCTCTCAGCCAGCCACCTGCTGCTCTCTGCACAAGGCCATCAGCTGGGTTTGATGGGACACCTCCTCCAGCGTGCTGGGTGTGCAGTGTCCARCCGGGACACACACTGCCTCCTCCCCATGCTCCAACTGCCTGCCAGCAACACTCGAGGTCACACCAGCCCCTGTGCCACGTGTGCATCCCCTGCCCCTCCCTCCCTGCAGCCGAGCACCAGCTCCTTGCCAGGCTCTGGCAGCAGGTGCAGCCCAGAGCTGCTGCTGAGCCCGGAGCTCCTGCTCAGCACTGCAAACATCTTACACAGCCCACACCTGCCATGGCCCCACCCCAGAGAAACTTAACTGAAGGCACACAATGGAGCCAGTGCCCACAGGGTGGGCACCTGTGGCTCAACCCAAACATGCCCAGCTCAGGGATGAGGCACATGCTTCCCTGAGGACAAAAAGCAAACAAAAGGATCTGCTCAACAGCTGACCCAGGCAGTTGGAAGGGAGAAGRAGGACAAACCTGGGGTAGTCCTGGGGGAAGCCCTGCCAACCAGGGTTGGTGAACTCAGGTGGGCACAGACTCTGGTGTTACCCCCATGCTTTCCCCAGATCCAGCCAGCCTGKCCCGAGGGACCAGCACCGCACTCACCAGCTCCCTGGCACTGCCACTGCTCCCCAGAAGCACAAGGCCCTGCCTCTGCCTGTGTCCCCCTGTAACCAGGGGCAGCGCTGGTCCGAATTTTGAGCAGGATCTTCCTACAAAAGTCTGGGGTTCCCTTTTCCACTTTAGTGGAGGCTGCTGGGGCCACTTGGATCTGGTGCCCAGAGCAAGTGCCCATGTCCCCAGGGAAGGAGCTGTGTGGGAGAGAGCCCAGCAAGGGACCTGTGCAGGAAAGAGCTGTCTATGTTAGGTAGGGCTGGGGCAGCCGAGGCTGTCCCAGGAACAGCCCCATCCCCATCCTGGGTCTTGCCCCCTGGTGTCATGGAACAGACTGTGCCACCCACCCTGGAGCTGCAGCCCTCCAGGATGGGGAGCCAGCAGCTCCCTGGGATGGTGCTTGCTGCAGCCAAGGAGCCCACAGCAGTGGGAACCCCATCCCTCCCCTGCACCTCACCCCGACAGCACACACCTATTGCACCACAACACTGCTTGTTTTCAATACAATGCTGCTGGCATGTGTCCCCTGCCCGTGACAGGGGGCTGCACTGGGTGRTCTTTAAGGCCACTTCCAACACAAACCTTTCTGTGACTGATTCTGTGTGTTTCTCCTTTGGTATTTGCACTACCAGTTGGGCAGCAGCAACAGTCCAATTTTTTTGCATTTCTTCCTCAAATACCAAGAAAAATATCTGAATATACCATCCAGTAGTGCTTCTGAGGTTAATATGCCTGTGGTACTTGGATACTGCTTGTGCAGTTTGGATTTCCAGTACTTCTTTATGTTTTTCCTGGGGAAACGTTGCTGGTGCATGTAAGGATTTTTCTGGATAAGGTATAAGAAGGGGAAGTCTCCACCTGGTCTGAGACTGATCCATTAGATTAGACACTATGTGCACTGGAGTTCCCTGCTAAAGGAATGGATCCAAAATTCCATTCRTTACTGCATCGCTTCGGAGCAAAAGCAGAAATAAGAATTTTTCTCCGAGTGCAGAAAGTGGAGAACTGGGTCAGGAATTATTGTTCATCTTAAGCAGTATGCAAAAATCCTCTTCTTTCTCRCAGAAAGGACTTGAGGAGCTCTTAGAAGATTTACAGCATTACAAGAAGCTTAGAGCTGAATCTATTACTTTTTCCTCTAGTGGGAAGCACTTTTCTAAGATCTGCTTCTGGGCAGGTGAAGGAACCCTGCATTCACCTTTCAGCCCTGAGCAAAACCTGATCTCTCAGGTGACCACTTGCCAGAAGCAGCAGAACTAATCCAGAAGGAAGAAACCATAGCACAGAAGCAAGTTCACACCAATAAAAGGCTCCCAACTGGCAGGRGGAAGGGCTCTGCAGACATCTGTGTCTCAAACCCTCCCAAACCTGACTGCACCCACGTGCTCAGTACGTGACCCTGGGGAGATGCGTCACCGGGCACAGCAGCAGCTACTGAGGACAATAACATACAGCCCTTTCCAAAATTCTCACACACAACCTATGAATGCTGTTTGCCTTTTATTGAGTTATTCAGGTAAATATTTCACATTAATACAGGCTACATAAAGTAGAGCCACTATACGACATGAAATTTACTCARCTTTTCCTTTTAAGTCTGTAAACAATTATACAGGAATTTACCACCCTCAAAGGTCAAAACCATGTCATCAGCTAGTTCTCTTCTGCATACGAGGAGCATTCAGTAGTGTTTAGCCAATAGCACTAGTTTTGTCTGATTTTAAAGTCTGAAGTGGCTAAACTAACTGGAGAACAGAATGAGTTTGTATAGGTAAATCAATTTGTTCTTAAACAATGGGCAATTGAGATTCCATTGTTACAGCCCACAGATAATTGCTTAGTTAGGCACATGAAAAGAATCCCCAGGGTTCTTCAACATCATAAAGATTCCCAAACCAGGCTAAAAAATGACAGACCCCCTTAAATCAGTTGACGTACTTGAGATGCATGTTTCCAATGTGAGGTGCCCAGGTGCCAGGCCAAATCTACAGCAAGAAATAAAAAGACAAATCTATTATAAAARCAAATAAAGGTTCCTTTAACAGTGTTTAACCACTGAGGGCGAGCATAAGACTTCCCTCAAAATACAACCAGACTGTCCAAAGGACAGGAGCTCTCCAGCTCTGGCCACGGTCTGACTGACAACCTGCAAGGTGCCGAGTATGGATATAAACCCTCTCACTTGTAACTGTCATTACCTGGCTGAGCAGTCTTGAAAWGCTGCTTGTTTTACCTGGAAGGTTTGGTACTGATAGTGCCATGGGTATTTTATGAACACACACACACATGCACACATGGTAGGGAAAAGTCATGCAAACAATCTCAATTCTAGTTTCAAAGAACTGAAAAAAAAACAAACACATCACCCATCCAAAACTGGGTATCACAGCACTGTATAAAGCCCTAGGAAAGCACAGGAGGGAAAAGGCAGCCACACTACCTGCTGAGCATCAGTACATTCTGTTGAGTTCTGGACAACTTTGATCATGGGATTCCAGGCRGGATCTGGAGTATGGAGCCCGTTGAAGAGGGGGCCTCCCGGGCCATCTGCCAGCTGGGGGTGCGAGGGTATCAGAGTGCCACCGTACATGGAGATGGGCAGGCCCTGAGGGGACAAAAGAGCATTGCTGAAGGATGAGGGGAAGGGTGGCTGTAGGACCAGACAGAGCCAGATCACCTTCTCAGGTAATGTTCACTAATGGCAGGAATCCCAGCACTGTGAAACAACACTGGAATGTGGTGACTTCAGAGCTGGAGATTCCAGCCAGATTAGCCATTTTTCTGAACTTACACCTAGCACAGGCTGCAGCACACACAGTTTTCAGATAAGCCCACAAAGCCAGGCCAGCAGCTGAATGCTGTGACCTCAGTGCTCCCTCCTCTCTGCAGCAAAGGACAGACACTGTACCGAACAGACTCTGCATTGAAGATTTTCTCTAATTCCTAATGGCCATCTAAAATAATTCTGCTTGTTCAGAAAGTGCAACTTATAGAGCAACTTTTTGAAATGAGAAGAATTCTGTTCCTATGTGTGAATGGCTGCTGCTTTGCCACGCAGATGCCAGGAGCACATGCTACGGCTCCTTCTGAAACATGCTGGGAGTCCTCTCCCTCCTGCCACTTCCCTAAGGAAGGTATGTAGTATTGTGGGCATGATTTGTGCKGAAAGCATTAAGCAAACTTGTAATCAGCCTGAAGATCTGAACAAGATTTGTGAAACATTTCCAGGTGACTGAGCTTCTGAGAGAGGAGACACTGGAGAGTGATGAAGGCCTTCAGCTACTGATCAGCAAGGATCTGCAGCTACAAACTCTGGCTCTGTTTAGACCTGCCTCCAGGTTAGGRCACCTTTTCTGGTCAGTTCTGGGATGAAAACAGGTCCAGGACTAGGGTGACAAGCAATGGCAGYGGAGGCACACACACACAGTGTGAACAGGCAGAACAGGAGATGCAATGAAGTCAGGGCCTGGTCATTTCATAAATCCAACTCTCTGTAACTTACTTTAGAAAAATCCACAAAACTATTGGGCATAGGTTGGTGGAAAATATTTGAGGGAGCCACTATTCCAGAATCATCTCTCTCCATAGGCTGATGCTGAGAAAACGTGCCCGGGTCCGAGAGCTGCTGATGCATTGGATGACTTCCCACAACAGGCTGAGACCAACCCGACAAGCCCTCTGCAAAGAGATTAAAAATGGCTGATTAAATTCATTGCAGACACTCAGGTCGAACTCAGCAGCTGCACACACCTAAAGCCACCCAAAGGCACCCTGAAAACACACAGGGATTTCAGGTATCCAGACAAGGGTGGAGAAGATGGGCGCTACCACAAACTGCAGGTTCCACCTGTCCAGTGCAAAACAGCTAAAATCCAACCGAGTTCCCAGCACTATTTGCATGCACATACAAACTTTTCTTGAAAACACAGAGCAGTGCTGAGACACAAGTTAACCAAAGCATGTAACAAAKGCAGGACTCAAACGTTTGTATTGAAAGTTACCAATGGAAACACTCTACACCTCAAATGCTTCACCTCCTCCTTTCCCCAAAATCTAACTACCAGGAAACTGTAAAATTTCAGCTGTTTCAAAGTCATAAGGCTGCCTGGAACAGAAGTTATCCYATACTGTTCAAGAGTGATGAGGAAATCAATGCAAAACCCAGCATTGACAGGTCTCTCTCTGTGGATGCATCAGATGCACCTCAGTTGACACTATAAAATATGAGTGGAAAACGAGAGAAAAGTGGCCAGAGTGAGCCAACAGTCAGGCCTGGAAACAGCCCCCTTAACAGATAGAAAATGTTTACTCTAAACTCTGCATCATTCCAAGGACTCCATATGAAGTGTCTKCACCTTTTCAGGCTCACACGTGCCTGGGAACAGATGCCATAGGCTGGGTGAGAACCACCAGCATCAGGAGAGGAAACCACAGTGACCTGTGCTCTCCCACCCCTGAGTGCAGCTCTCCCCTCAGGATGCACTACACAGCAGTTGAGTGCACACTGTGGAGCTTTACTCCTCTCCAACCTTCAAGTGCAGCCCTTCCTGGCACTTTTAGAGCAGCATACAAGAGCCTTACCAGACACACTGTTGACCCCGAAGGACCAGATGCCGCTGTGCCCCACGGGAGCTGTGAAGTTGGTTCCCAAGGGTGTAGGAGTGACAGAGCCTCCCTGCCGGATTCTGGCGAGCCTCTCTGTCCCKATGGGAGGGGGGACCTTGCGATCTTGATTGGCGTTACCCGTTTTTGGCTGGCCCAAGTTAGAAGGTGCAGAAGCAGCTGAGAGGGGCGAAGATGATCCTGAGGAAACTGATGGAATAGGAGATTCACCTGCTGAAAAGAGTATTTCTCTTGCTTAATTACACACAAAGCACATAAGGTAGCAAGCATAAATGCCAACCCCTTTATTCCCTCAATACTATCTCGAAGCAAATGAWAAAATGTTTTAAAGGCTTTTTGGCATGCATTCTTCAAGTCTTTCACAGACAGAAATTCTGTCTAGGAGTTATTTTAACTCTAAAATCAACATTATAACACAAATGCTTTCAGCCATCAGAATCATGATATTCTCATGACAYAGCAGTGTATCTAAATTAATTACAAGAAAGAATAAGAAACATGGAAGAGTTTCAGGAAGAGGTGAAARCATCAGCCAAAATACCATAAATATCTAAACAGCCTGGTTTTGGTATCCACCACTTCCAGCAGAAGAGAAATCAGACAGCTTCCCAAAGCCACAGGGGTGACCCAAGAGCATAAGTCCCRCCAACTTCAGAAGCGTCACTGACTCTCCTTGGGAAATCCAACTTCCTTTGWGCACTCATTTTAACATTTTGGTTCTTAAACTCAGAGTGGCAATGAAGTTGCATGCAGTGACATGAAACACTTCTTCAGCTAAGATTGTGAATCCAAGACCCATATTTTCTGTAAAGCTACTTCCATGTTCTTCCCATTAGAAGGAAAACCCACTGTTACCTCGGATGATGCTTAATGATTTTGGAACATTTAAAGTATAATTCCAGATCCAAATTAAAAAAAGAAGAAAGAGATAAAAAAAAGCAAAATAAAGGCAAATAAAACTTCAAACCACAGCAAACATGACATTTTCATCTAATACTGCACTCATACTACTTAAAGGATAATCTTTAGCTTGGCATAATCATCTCCAYTCCCCTAAGCTTCAAGCTCTCTCCTTTCAGAGCCTACAACGACTTATTTTTTTGCCCAAATATGCCTTTAGTAATGCTACCAGAACTAGTGGCATGGGAAAAACCCCACAAAATAGCACAGCTTGGGATTTGCACRCTATCCTCACAGCTGCTAAAAGCAATTGGAAAGCATTTTGTGCATCACTGGGTAAGTTCCCCTCAAGTTAGAAATCTACTAAAGACAATAGCTATGAATTTATAGTTAACTAAGACAGACCCATGAAGTTCCTACATGAATTTGTTGCGCTTGTCCAAGGATGTGGTGAAAAATGCTGTCTGTTAAAGCTGGGAGTCCCAACAGGCGCTGGCCCTTGAAGGTAAACCCGTGCTCCTTGTATGTTTGCTGAAAAGCCTGTCAAAGGACCTGAAGAAGAAGTTGTAGAGCTGTTGGATGGATCTAGAGAGGGTAAGCCTGAAATAAACATAAATTTGATTAAATATCTCTCTTTGGGAACCTGCTTCAAAGCACCAGAGAAAGCTAGTGCTCCAAATATAATTAAAGCATCTCATCACTTTCGGGGACATCTGCACATGATACAGTCATTTTACAGGTGCACGATTCTCACTTAGAAACCACAGAGGCATTTCTGGAGGCTCTCTGGTTTGGCCTCAAGTTTTAACAAAAACTGCCATCCCTTTGGTCACTGAAAGAAAATTATCTTAGCAGGGAGGGCAGAGCAGGAAAGCTGGGAGTGGCCACAATCTTTGCTTACAAGAAAGCCACACAAATCCAACAGGGATGCAGGGATCTCTGAAAGTCCCAGGGGAATCCAGCACCAGGGAAGCAGTTCTCTGCAGGATGGGCTTTGCCATCCCATAGGTACCTTCATGCAGAGATTAGTCAGAGCATGCTGTGGCCACAGAGACAGGGCTGATGTGGCACAGCACCATGGGGGTCTAGGCTGCTTCCTCCAGAGATGTATGAGAGGAAGAGGGAGATGGAGCAAGAGTTCAAAGTCCCACAGAAATTATTAGCAAGGGGGAATTACAGTTTTTTTAATAAGCCAAAGCTTTTAAGTACTTTTCCAAAATGTWGTAAAAGCTCTTATCACATATTATTACCTGAAAGCAGAAATGGGCATGGCCATATATTCACCTGAGTTTAGGGTTTAGTTTCAAGGGCCTATTAAACAAGATTAGTTTCAAAACCATTTRAACATTTCAAAATGACCACAACCAGGACCAGCCTATATTGCTGCAGTGAGGTTGAAGTTGTACCTACACACCCCTCACCACAAACAGCAGTGCTGCCAGGCAGTACCTTCGATCAGAAACTAGAGGGGCACCTTTTAGTGCCTGGATAGTTCCTGAAAATCAGGTCTTATCCCCCAAGTATTATCAAGCAAGTCAACMTGATTTACTCCTTCCAGAAATGCCAGATCCAACCTGCTCACATGGACAGAAATGATCCGTTGGATTTGAAGGAGGACATTTTTCTCACTAGCCCAAAGGATAAAAAGAGAAGTCTCCCTTATAGCCAAGGAGAAACATATCCACCCCACTGCTGGAACATGGGGTGCTCAGCTGAGGGACCTGCAGCACAGGAGGACAATCTTCCTGGGTTTGTCACAGCCCTGAGCAGGATGCCAATGCCTGTGACTGCAATGAGGTTACCCTGAGTTTGTCTGGAGTTGCAGCCTGGCTCCAGCAGGGAGCTCAAGCACAAGCTGACAGMGGTGCCTACAGCCCAGGGCCCTCAYTGGGCATCTGCTCTGGAGCCACTGACTGGACACTCTGGCCAACCCTCTGTGCACCAATGTGGCAGCCAAAAGGCCCCTATGGGGACCAATCCCACCACACACCAAAACACAGGCTGCAGCTGRCTGAAACCACACACGACTCCCCAGTCTACCCAGACACAAGAGCAACAGAGCTGCTGCCATCCAGGGACACTGCTGGGTTCCTAAACAGAAAGTAGGGCAGGGATTGTGACAAAAGCAACTCTCCTGCAAAAAAGGGATACCCAGCAGTCTTCTGATGGCACACAGGATGATGGGTACACAGCCTTTGGATACATTTGTGCAGTGTGGAGTGAAGTGCAATGACTGGACAGTCAAGACCACTTCAGCACTGCTGGATATGCTCCATGGGCTGAAGCGAGCATGACAGCCTGAGATGCACAAATCCAGGAGTCACGTCACAAAGAACACTTTTTAACATTATCCTGTCTTTCATAAAAGTGGATGAAAAACTTAACTTGATATTAAAAAATAACTATTCTGCACAATGACTTACCAAATCCTGATTGCAAAAATGAGCTTCTTGTGTGTGCACTCACCAACAAAATCAGGTTTTCTAATACTAAAACTGCAATAATGCTTCACTCTAACTACTCTGCAGTTACTTGGGCCACGAACTCAAACTCCTCATGGCGCTCTGAAGGCATAACTGAGCTTTTGAGAGGAGTGTATTGAGCTCACACAAACTCTGCTCAAAATKCAGTTTATCAAAGACMCCAGGCAYTCCTGCAGATGCTGGTTACTGCAAYGTCACCTGCACMATTAGAGAAAGGGCCACAACACTTCCTCACTCTGTGTGAAACAGAGTCCAGCCATTTTACACAGTTCCATAGTCATGTGCTGCTTCCTAAGATGTGTATTTCAAGTTTGTGACCTCTTTTAATAAGCAAGGTCTTAAACTCCTTAGGATGCGGAGGACAGAAGTAACAGGTAGATTTCTTTTGGTCTTCTCCAGCCTCCCTACATGGTTGGGCTAAGCCCACCCTCAACTGCAAACTGCCAGGACAAATGACCTAAAAATGTGAGACAAATAGGTCATTTCCAGAATAGATCCACARCCAGGGAGATCTGCAAGGATCTTTGTGCCACAAAGGAAGTGGTGAATCAGAGAAAACTCAAGCTGCAGCTGAGCTTACCCATGAACTAAGTAAAGCACCCATGATCTGAGAAAAGCAGACTACCCAAACTTCAACCTGAGGTGAGAACTTGTTAAGAGAAAGCTGATTTAGTGCACAATCAAACTATATTAAGTCTTCAAATCAGTTTAGAGGTGATCCCTTAGAAATGCTGATTTGTGGAAACATTTGCCACGGTCCAATTGTGCACTAGAGGCACAAAAGGCAAACTCCTGCTCCCACACCTTCCAAACATCATCTTGTCCTCAAGCTCCCCAAACCCCTCTTCTCCTGGGTGATGGACAACTTACATTCTGAAACAAAGGTGATCCAAAAGCAATGTGAAGTAAAATGACATTAAATACATCAGCTAAGGACCTGACTAATCAGCTGCCTCCTGCCAGGCACAATTTTAGCAGCACACCTACATATTTGCAGTTTTTCTTCACTTTGCGATATCCTTATCAAATCCTAGATCAGAAAGTGTCCAAATATTTGTCAAAAATATTCTGTCCAAATATTTCCGAGCTTCAGTTGAGAACTTCATGCTTATCTCCCTGAGCTCTCCTTGTCTATCTACCTAAGCTTTCTAAGGGCAGATACAGATTTACACTGTTTTTAAGTACTTACAGTCACTTAGAGATATAAAGGACCAAGAAATTTTCTCCCATTACAAACAGATGATCTTAATGTAAGGGAACAGCAAAATACTTTGCTGCTGTGGGAAGTCCCAGTCAGCCACGTTTGCACATGCAGGATGCAATCATCAGGAAATCAGCAGATCCCATTTGCCATAAGCTTCCTTTCCCAAGAACTATTTCAGCAACAGCCAACTCCTAGTTTAGAGCAGTGCAGAGGAAAAGCTAAGCCATTGTCAAGTGATTCTGGAGCCTGCTGGGGGTCTGGCAACTCTTTATTAACARTCTCTGATGAACAAGGTCCAGCTGCTTTATCTTCCACATCTGGTTCTGCTTACTAGGCTGAGACTGGATGTGGCACAGAGCTCTAGGTGTGCTCTTGCTTTGCAGAGCTATACAGCCCAAATTAAACAATTAAGAAAACTACAGTCATAGCAAATATCCCAGCTTTGTGGTTAAAGCCAGKCAGAGAGAAGTGTTCTGCTTTACAGAAGTCCTGCACATCTGTCAAGCAACCAAGAGGAAAGAGAATGCTGAAAATCTTCTTTCCTCATCATTACATCTTTCAAATGCTCCCTTCTCCTTTAGTCTGAAAGTCAAACTACTTGACTTTTCTCAGCCCAGCATCCAAGTCCTGAAGCTTTACCCAAATACCCAACACACTGTGTGGGTAAGGATGACTCCAGAGCAAGGCTCTCCAGCCACCCAGCTCCAGGACACCCCACAGTCACCATGGCAAAGACAAAGAAATGCCACAGAATAGATCTCTTGAGGACCCCTTCCAATCAAATGGGTGCAATTGGCTGTCTGCAACATAGTTTGAACACTGAGAAGATAAAAATCCTGCAGGCAGAGAACAGCAAGGGCAGGGAGCTCAATGTCAGCRTTCTTAACACATTTCAAATAAATCCAGATGTGCTAGTACAACTATACTGAATTTCTGAATAAAACACCCCATGCAGTAGCACACCAATCAGCTTCACGAAGTAAGCTTAGTAAAATCCCAGAGCCATATCAARAACCAAAAGGCACAGAGGGTTCACCCTCTCTGAGTCAAGCTGGAGTCTCACATACAATGTGGAGCACYTGCACGCACTCACTGCTGCAGCTGGAACCTCCAGGAATCCTCACATTTGGTGTCACCCCSCCACTCTGTTCCATTCCAACCCAAAACCTAAAATTGATGCTATGCTACAAATAGGTGGGAGCTCTCCTATGTCATACGGAGGAAGCAATACAAGACCTGCAATCTTCTCAACACCTAACAGCCTAGAGGAGCTGAAGAAAAAAAAAAATCATCAACATTTTTAAGAGAACTCAGAAAAAAAGGCCATCCTAATTACATGAGTATTCTCTGTCATTTGTAGACTACTACTCCATCAATATGATGATCGAAGTGCAATGGCTGAAGAAATAATTTTGYCCAGTGCATGATCTTACTGACTTACCTACAGGACTAGTCGAAACTCGTTGGGAAGGCGGCCTGAAACCAGGAGCCTTGGAGTTGTCGGGATGGACGTTTTCCACATGTCCTAGCACAGAATTATTCAGAAAGGTAGACTGAACAGTGAAAGATGGGTCAGCTGCTGCTCGGGTAGAGAGTGGACAGTCTCCCCACGCTTGGTTAGCTGGCACCTGGTTGCTATCAAAAAGACTACTAAAGTGATTGAAGAGCGTTGCTGGCCCAAAGGCAGGAGGCAATGATTTGTTTGCTGGGTTAATGTGCATCTGAGAACCGTTCATAACGTTCATGGCTGACGAAAGCTGCACTGCAGCAGGTGGACCTTGAGAAGGTGTTAAAGGAACTTGATTCGTAACAAAAATAGATTGAGGATCTTGATGGAGGTTTGCATTTGGTACCACTGAATAGAAAGAACCTCTGGACTGCATCCTGTGAGTAACTCGAGGTGCTGGTACAGCTACTTGAGGTAAGTTACTGTTGTCCTGATTATCTGCAACAACTGACCTGGGTGACGCTAAGCTTAAAGGAGCAGTTTCTGAGCTGGATGAGAAAGGCATCGACATGGAGGGGCTGATCTCRGACATGCTGGTTGGCAGTATTTCATCTTGGGCGTTGTTCAGCGGTGCGGGGCTGCTCGCCGGGCGCGTTTCGGTGCCTCCTGAGCTGCTGCTGGCTGACACACTGCAACTGCTTGCGACTGAAGCTGGCGTGCACGCGCTTGTGGGYGGCTGCTCTGGGGTCGACACCTTCTCCTTGGGTGCTGAGACAGCCGAGAACGAGTCCGCTTTCAGGGCGGAATGCTGCGCTTGCGGAGGAGTAGATGGCAGAAACGCTGTGGGCACTTGCCCGTTGTTTGGGGAGGCAGAGGAAGCTGAGGGCAGAGTGCTACAGGTGCTCGTCACAGTTGAGATGGCTGTTGCTGCAGCGCTCGTCTTGGGGACGCAGGCAAAGAGCTGCTTCCTGACCGAGGAGGGAGTCCGGTTACTGGTCACACACAGAGGCTGGGTGGAAGCAGCTACAGACGAGACGGTAACGGGACAACTGGACGTAGCTAATCCAGGAGACTCCGTCTGCAAAACGTTTCCGTTCTGACTACCTACACGATTTGTACTATTATGCTTTGGAGAGCTGTTCGTGCTGCCAGGGTTAACTGGTCTCACTGGGAATGGTCCCCAAGTGTTCGGTGAAGGTGAAAAGGTTCCTCCAAACTGGGCCATAGGTAAGCGAGGGTGCCGGATCTGTTGCATAGTTTGGGCAGCCAGCAAGGCAAAATGAGGGTGAGAATAAGCGAGAGGAAGCGACACCGGAAAAGATGAGCGCACGTTCGCTGGGACATTCTTGTTTAATTTGTTAGTAGGCTGAAAAGTAGATAGTGTTGATGACTGCGACGTGACCAGGGGTGCTGCTCCGAGAGGAAACGAGTTCTTGTTGGAAGCAGTCGCAGTGCTGACTCCAGATGAAAAGTTCGCGTGGATTGATTTGGTACTCGAAGCAGGTGTTCTTATATGAGTTTTAGGAATCAAGTCTTCCAGTTCCTTGGCAGGATCTTGAATAAGGGCATTGATGAGTTGCACTGCGTATCGCGTGGACTCTGTACCACCCCTAGATTAAACACAAACAGATTTATTTTTTGCAAAAGAAAACCTCACTTTGCGCAATGTTCTGTAGCCTCAACCTTATACTGATCTGTAAGTCTATTGTAAGTTTACTGCAGTTAAGTCATTTYTTGACTTCTGTGTATCTTAAGGATTATCTCTGAAGTCCACTGGCAGCATATCTTGGCAGCAGGAATGTATGTTCTGTTCTAKAACAAAGAAGCTAAATAGATCCTGCCTTAGAAAGCAAACAAACTTTTTAATAAATTACATGGTGGACTAACTCAGGACTTCCATTTTGAGATACTGTACCTTATAGTGATCATTCTCTCTCCATTCTTATCTTTTTGCTTATCAACATCAATGTGGGCACCAGTGACATCTTGAATTGCTGTGATGTTGCACCCACCTCTTCCCATTATTCGAGATACGACAGAAGCTGGGACTGATAATTTCTTTGACCTATATCACAAAGATTAGAAATCTGTGAAATGCACTCAGACTTCAAAGACARACAAAAGCCCTTTGCAGTCTGACAATGGCTGCAGTAATATTCTTAAGGGCAGTGAGTGGTTTTTTGCCGATCCTTTCTTCACCCTTTGGARTCTTTCTCAAAGTTCCCCACTCAAACTACTCATCATCCTCAGTACCTGACAAGGATTCTCCAAAAGCCTTTATTCCACTATTGTAATACAGATACATGAGCCTCACACTGCTTCAGAACCACTTCAGATTTTATCCTTTCTGGAGTACCTGTCTAAAAGCAAGGTACCTCTAATCTAAAGTTACATAAGCAGCACTGCTTCAAGTATAAAACCCCATAGCTTAGCTACTTTGACTGTCCATAGCAGGAAGAAAGGGGCTTTCMAGTGTTTTCCTAGAGATCAGCTCTGCAACACCACCTGCACCCACAACGTTTTGGTATCCATGTCTTTTAAACCTCAAGATCTGGAAGTGCAATGTCACCAAGAAACAAGAGTGGGTGAAAGCACCTGAAGGTGTGCAGTGCTGGGATTCAAGGAGCTGCTGAAGTTGTGATGGCAGCCAGGACTTGCAGAAGCAGGCTCACTGCCAGGCCACAGCACTATCACCAAAGCCAGTCAGTTTAGGGATTTCCTGATTCACATGGTGCTGGTGGATCAGTGCAGGCACATAGTGTTGGGAAGTCTCTGAACATGAGCTCTGCTTGCATCCAAACCCCAGACAAGATCTGTGGGTCACCAGTGTCTCCAGACTTAAAGGTRTGGACTTCCTGTGCCCATAAGCTGCTACAGATGTGCACTGGGCTCAAYGCTGAACAATTAGAGAGGATTCAAAGGGGTTTCAGAAACTATAGTAGCCACAGGTGCAGGTGCCCCTGAATAGGATAGATCCCCACCAGCCCCTGGAAAAGCTGCCAGCTTCACCTAGCTACTCCAGTCTTACAAACTTGTAAGTAACTTCATCCTCATAGAATTCTTTGTCACTTAGCAGGACTTAGAGGAAACTACTTTAAACATCTAAACACACAGAAATGTTCTAAAGCTTCACCTCATGTAGCTAAGGTGTTCTTTCTTTCTTTCCCTCATTCCTACCAGGACAACACACTACAACCCCTCCCATCCCCAGACACCTYAGTGCATGCACCCAGCTCTATCCCCAAGGCTGTTTCATGCTTTGAGTTTTCTTCCCCACCACCACTTCTAAGGCTCCCCTCTCAAAACAGACATTGTAGTCACTCCCTCCCCAAACCAGACTCCCATCATCACCCTAAGTTTCAAGAACACCTGCATTGCTCATAGGGCTCCTGACTGTACCATGCTCTGTTTYCACTCAGCCCGCTGGGGACCTCCAGCAACCACTCAAGGAGGCATTTCTCTTCCAGGAGAGCCCACCCCAGTACCCAGTCCCCTCCCACCCATCATCCACAGCCATTTCCCTCCCTCCCTCCTTCAGCTGATGGTTTTGACCTAGAGAAGTGTCCCAAACAGTACCTTTTTGCTCCAGAACAGCAGCGCCCTCCTCTCTGCAGCTGAAATTGCTCAATTGGTGTTGGCTGCAGAGTGTTGCTGGGGGGAGGGTCTTTCAAAACTCTGCCCACTTGCCTGTCAGGGGCACAAGGGATGTTTACATCGGTTACTGTGATAGACATCCCTTCTAGCTGGGGGGCATTCACAGAGAGAGGGAAGGAGAACAATTCTTGCTGAGATCAGGATGGACTTTTGGAGAGGGAGCTCCTGGGCATTGCACCTGCATATCCACAGTCACCAACAAAGCTCTCTGGCAGGACACGCTTCTGTCAGTCAGGGCACAGCAAACACCAGGGCTGTGTCCCACTGTGTGGAATGTTCCTTATGGCACAGGGCCCCATTCCTCAGGAAAGAGGATAGGGCMRGTTCTGGATGCCATGTCTAGAACACTGCCAAGGCCAACACAAGAGCAGAAAATACCCACAAGAACAGCTGGGTTGAGCTGATGAGACTCGAGAGCTCCAGGAGAGTGGGAGCAGCACCAGGTCTGAGGGGGATCAGGGCTGTCTGAGGGGTTCCTGCCTGCACAACTCCCCAACAGGGGGCCATGCTGCCACCAGACACCCAGCAGGGCCATGTCACTGTGGAGAGCCTCACTGGTGACCATGTCAAAAGGGAGAGACCTAACCAACTCTGAGGATTTCAACACATAAATTTTCATATTAAACTGCCTTTTCCAACTTTATTGAGAACAGTCAGTGGCTCCCACTAATCCAAATGCACTAAGCCCTCTGTAAAATCATGTTCTTTGCATATAGCCTCAAATTCTCCAGAATGAGCATAGCTGGTCACTGCCCCTGCAGAATACAAAAGCAGGAGGGCTTCCTAAGTGCACTCAAAGCATCTGACACTGGTATGTTCAKGTTGTCTTCCTTTTCGATAAAGGGAACAAAAAATGCAAAGGCAGATGATCATTCTAGTTACAAACAGTAGACAACATAAAGGTTACAGAAGAGATACTGGGGTATTAATGGCCATAAAGTAAAACCCAGCACATTTTCAAAGGAAAAGTTTGCTTTATAGTAAATCTTTATGTCTCCCTGTATCTCTAAGCACTCCCTGTAGGGTGACACAATCTTCCATTGAATCAGTGATCAAGGTCACTGCCCAAAGCACAAWGAATTTTGGCCTCTACACTACTCCAATCCACTCTGCCTTTGGTTCATGTGCAATCATCCCCTGTAGGGCTTTTCATTGCCCTCTGCTCCCTTCCCCTTTTATCTTGTCCCGAAATCCTTTGCTCCACTGAAGTCACAGGTTTTCTTTATTTTCTCATCCCRAATACTATGTTTATGTCATGTTGACATTAGATTAGTGAGGAGCTACTACTAATGAAGACTGCAGTTGGTTTTCCCAGCACTGCAAAAGAAATGGGGGTAGATTTTCTTATAAGTTAATTCTTCAATTATAGAATCTTGCTGGACATTCTACACTTGAGAATAATTTACAAGCTAAAAAGCCCATGTACAGTTTTGAGGCATAATATTGAAGTCTTTACCTTCTAACCACTTCTTTCCAGCCTTCTTCTCTTTTCTGGCCTCTTTTTGGACTGGTCAGATTCAGCTTTACATTTGGAGAGCTCAGAGGCAGGGAAACAGCCTTATAAGTAGTCGACAAAGAATTCGAATGACCTTCACCATCAAGTCTGGGAACAAAAATGTACTGATTACAAATTACAGAATAAAATGACAGCATACAGTTTACATTCCTGCAGCTTAAAGCTAGTAGCATGAACAGTTTCCATTCTTATTTTCTGCCTGGAACAACTGTTGGGTGACTTTGGGAAGGGTTTTTTTTTCCCTTTTAGTCCAGTCTATACCCTTCCTTCRAAAAGCAGAGTGTTAAACTGAATGAAGTAATACCAGAATCACTAAGGGCAACAGTATAAGACAGTTTTAATAGGTGGGATCTCCTGATTATGTGTCTACACAGTGTTCTCCCTTCTTACATAGCTTTTTARGAACAGGTACTTYRGTAATAAGYGTCCCTTACCAAATACTTGAAAATGTCTCAGTTTTAGCTCTGTCACAGATTCCTGTACACTGGTTCTACCCCTCTGCCCCCATTTTATGAAGGGGTAGCTGAGGCACATATTTGAGCATAATGGCATATTTATGTCCCAGAGGCACCATTTGGCAGCAAGTGCCAGCTATTGTCACCTGTGCCAATACTGCTGCTGCAACAATACAGTGATATGCAAAGTCTGAGTGAGAGAGAAATRGAGGGAGAGAGAGCAGACAATCCCTTTTTGGGCTAACTGGTTGATGTGGAGGTGCAAACAGCAGCACTGGGAGCTCACAAGTTCATCTGAAGCACTGAAACAGGCAGCAATCTCCAGCAGACACTGACAACCTGGCCTTGGGTGGTTCCACCAGCCAATTATGGCATAGCCCAAAAATGTACAGAAGCCCTGATGCTTCAGCTCTCTTGGTAAGCAGCWCTCCTCTATTATATGCAAGTCTTTATTCATCCATTTTATTCCCCATTCTTTACAGCATTTTATGTTTGCTGTGTCTTCTCGCAGGCAGACTGTTTATTTCATACAAACTTCAGAGATGGCACTGCCTCTCAGTAACCAAGCACAGGTTTTACACGAAAAGCAAAGATTAGACACTATGCCTTTTAAGATGGCAGCATTTTCTCTCTATACCTTAATAAGTTCTAGCTCTCTGATGATACACCTATCCGCAGAATCTGCAAGTTCTGTAGAGAACTCTATTTGTCCTCAGATAACTGAAAGATTGAGGCAAAGAGAAAAAGAAAATGCATATGAAAGAAAAATGTCCACTGAGGAATATGAATTCCAGAGTAGACTTTAAAGCTTTTTCCTGCTTTATCTGAAAATACCTAGGTATTTTTCAGAAGAGTATCATTATGCAGCCTGAGTTTCAGTTTCAATTACAGCAGCACTTTCATCAGCATGYCTGTGACTAAAGAGGAATTCAGAAAGAGCAAACTTAGAAATGATTTTCAGACGAAGTCTGTCTAGTGCAAAAGCCAGAGAAGCCATCTGTAGAAGTTAAAAAAGACACCAGCCCCATTTTTATGTTTACATACTGTCCTGCCTCCTCAGTGTACTTTAACAGAGGAACCACCCCTAGCAACGAGTCAGAAGGATGCATTTAGCATGTCCTGCTCTACTGAACTGCACAGGACCCAAGGATCTTGCAGGAGATCTTGGATGAAAGGTCCAAGGCAGAAACAATTTATGTTTGTAGAACAGAACAAATTCCAATTTTTAGCACTCCTAATGGGAGCCCAAACAGACACCTCCTAACCACAAGGGTTGATGAATCCACTCATTCTGCATCTAACTTGAATCTGGGGAAAAACAGGAAAAAGAAAAAATCCTAACTCTTTCCACTCCCAGTCAAGCACCTCAATCAGGTGACAACACTGAGACAACAGCCATGTCTCATTGCCCTTCTTGATGCTACAATGTCTGTGTTTTTATTGAAGCTGGCCTCTCAGTCAGCCCAGTGTCCTGTAGATCAACCTCCAGGTCCTCTCCCCTTCTTAGTATAGAAAATGGAAAGAGAAAACAAAACTTTGGGGAATCAGACTTGCACTATTTCGATGGGAAAAGCAAACAAAGACTACACACCTACATGAGATCTAAGCTTCCTGATTCAGACCAACGGCCTGTTCAGAAACTGGTGTTGTAAAAGTTATCAGCACATTCCCAGGCAACTGAATGACCTTTTGAACCACTCATGTGACCCCTGTATATTCTCTGAGTAATTCTGACTCTCACCTCTGGCTCGACAAGGTTATATCAAACTGGCCATCAACCTGGCAGGTGAAATGCTCAGAGTCATCAACGTCTTCCCTCCTTAAAAGAAAGAGATTGCAAGTCAAATGCATTAATGGTGAAACCATAAAACAATCAAAAGGTAACAAAGCACTTCTGTAAGTGGATAAGTAAAGCTGTCACTTCCTTATTAAATTCCCAGTACATTCACTTCAAGATTTGTTCTAGCAAAGCTGACAATGCAACATGGATGCTTAAAAAGTTCAAAGAGAAAAGGTCATTTTGCTCAAGTAATATTAAAAACTAGCAAACAATGCCAAAAAGTCTTGTCCTTACCATTTCAAAGAGGTTGTGTCCAAGAAACTTAACACAGCTATGCAAATAAGGCAGCATCAGTCTCTCTAGGCTTTGGGAATGTACCAGGTGGTGTAAAGCTTAAGCTACAGAAAATTTACTCTGGCATAGGTGGAACCTTGTGAAACAACAGGGAAGCAACAGAGCAGTCTCACCTCGTTGGTGTTTTGGAAGCTGAGGTGCTGTTTTTTTCTTCCTGAGAGGGGATGAGCAGTGAGGCATAGCGCCGCTCTGAGGAATTCGTATCCATTGTGAAGTTCAGCTCTTGGCTTTTCCCTCCACTGCTGCTTTCACTGTTGCAGTCTGTGCTATCCAGGTTATCTGAATCACTGTTCCCACTCGCACCACCACCTCTTGGCTCTCCATTTATTTTATTTTTATCTGCTTTTTGCTGTGCTAGCGATATATGCTGATCTGGCAAAATTATCTGCATATTCTGAGGAGTCTCTTTTGTTTTATTTTTCTTATTTTTTCTGTTTGTGCTGGGGGTAGTTACCACATTAGCTCTCTTCTTCCCAAAGACATTTGTGAAGGTAGTTGAAGTTGCAGAAATTCCAATTGTAGTTGTAGTAGTTGCACTTGGAGGCTCTATAGGAACTTCTTGCTCCACTGAAAGAAAAGCAGTTTATATACAACCAGAACCCACAAAATAGAGAAATCAGTGTCCTCACTGAACATGCTACAGCTGAAGTTATGCTCCTTGCAGAGCTGTYAGACTACTTGCACCATATTCAGCTGTAAATCCTCCAAGAGTGAAAGACTTTTGTGAACAATGGAGGGGGTGAAAAAATGAGCAAAGGAGTTTTACCAGGAACTCTGACTACTGAGGGAAAACCAGGGCAGCAGCCATGCAACACTATCAMATACAAGAGACCAGATTTCAAACASATTCCTTTACCTTGATGGTTAGAAAAACGCAGCCACACAACTGCACTTTCATAGAAACACTTGTGCTTTACCTTCATCATCGTTTTCTTCTTCATCGTCATCTTCTTGTAGTTCCAGAGTTTCCTTAGGCTTGTTTTCTTCATCTTCTTCTTGTTTTCTTTTTTGTTCCTCTTTTTTCTTCTTTCTCTTCTCCTTTCTTTTCTCCCTTTTGGCTGCAAGAGCTTGTTTTCTGCTCTCCTCTCTTGACTATGTAGGAGAAAAGAATCCATATTTAAACATTTTCACACGACTAGATTATAATTCAGATCTTCCCTAGAAATCTGGGGGGAAGGAGAAAGGAGAGAGCACAATGATCTAGAATGACTTTGGCACATACTGAATCATTACACAGAAACTGGGCAGACCTTATGCAACAACAGGACTAGCTGGCCCAAAGACTTCTAAGGAATGATAACAAATTAGCAAATAAAACAGAAATATTAAAAAAAAACAGTTTTATTGGAAAACCAGCAAAATTCCTCATCCTCTCAGTTCTTTCTCAAACATTTGATAAGCTCAGWGATATTTTTGGTGTGGTGTTTACATCTTTGGTTCAAAAGACAGTACTCAAAATAGTATTTTACACACAATGGCTCTAATTTTAACCACTTTAAAAAATGGAATCAATTACTGCTGCATTACTTGTGCACAGCAACTGATGTGTGTTCAACAAGTCCACAACCTGGAAAATTTAATAACTAATGTGGAACTTGTCAAAAACTGAAAGAACCTCAATTAAGAGAGCCCACTAAAGACTTTWACTCTAGAACACTTTACAGTATTCTCAGCAAGGGAGAAGGGGATTTTCTCCACACTCTGCTCAACTCCACTGAGCAGAAGTCCATAAAATGCTTATGGACCATGACTTACACACATATTAACACACCATGTACCACATCATGAGACTGGAGACCCCTGTGCTGAGGTGATCCCAGGGAACTACTGCCTAAGGTAACTATTGCTAAGACCACGCTTTCCTAAAAAAGGACAGTGGAGTGGCTGAAGCAAAAGTCAGTTCTAATTTGCCACCCTCAGTATGTGCCTCATTGTATGACGTATTAGGGGAAGGAACACAGATATAGTCAGACTGGCCCAAGAAGCACCAAAAGAAATGCAGYCCACAGATTCACACACAGCTCAAACACTCTGCCACATGACAGCAATGCCCTACTCACTTTTTCCAGGTCTAGCTCCTTCAGCAGTATMGTTGCATTTTTATTGGCTTCTGCAGCCTGCTGGTCTTTAGCTTTCACAATCGTCTCCACACACTGGTGACACTTTTTCAACAGGTCCTGAAATGCAAACTTGTCTTACTACCACTGTAATAAACTACAACTGAGGAGTGAGGCTTGTTCTACAAACATTTGGTTCCCCTGTGTTCATAAACATACAARCTATTCCATAGAATAGGATCTAAATGCTGATTTACATTTTAAGTGCTGTATTAAAAAGGAGACATGTACAAATCTCCAAATCAGATGCACATGARCAAACATGTACGTTCAGTTTTTGAGTACTTAAGAAATTCCCATGGAAATTTTTGCWGGAAATTCAGGCCAGGGTCTTCTCCCCAGGTCCAACTCACCTTGTCTGTGATGGTCGCTATGTAGCGCATGCACTCAATGTCAGAAGGAAACTGGTTAACTTCTTTCACCAGGAACTGAACTACTTTCACATGACCCTAGAAGAGCAAAGAAAATTCTAATCTTTTGTATGCAATTGTCAATATTCATTGTCAAAATACAAGTTTMATATCTCTCAATTCAATGCAAAAGACAAAACAAACAAGAACATTTCTGGTAGGCTGCTTGTTTGGGAAGAAGGGCACTTACTGCTTGCTTAGTGCTGACAGCACAGATACTGTTCTGCTTCAGGGTGGCAAAGACAAGCTCTGCCACAAATTATTCTTTATTTTAAAATACAAGGACTGGAGACAGCTCTTYAGGGTTTTAAAAACAGCAAAGACAACCCTCTTTAGACACCCTCTGTCACCCAATCCAACTCTCTTGCCACTCCATGAAGCTGACTTGGATTGTTCGATTACAAGCTAAGTCAGGTCAGGGAACTGAGSCACCTGAATGCTCTCCTGGCAAGCACATTCCTCAACTGCCAGGGTACACTGTGCAACCACACAAAGCACCCAACTGCTGCTTCTGAAGTTATGTGAAAGCAATGTGAAAGCAGAGGCAAGCTCAGCATTGTTGTTTGTCAAAAAAGCTGCACACTTCTTTGCTATTTTTTTAATGGCAAAGCAGCCACAGTTAAAAAATTCCTCTGCTACAGCTACGCTCCTTGCATCAAACACCACAACTGATGGAACCATCACAAAGCAATGTTCTTCCTGCCAAGAAGAAAAGGCAGTGAGTGACAAAAGAGCTGACTACACAGTGTCCCATCACAACAGATTAGGARCAGATTRAGAGAAGCATAATGGAATAAGGACRGCTTATTGCAGACTAGTAKTGTGTTCATCTCAAAAGCAGGACTGAAATAAGCAGTACAGAAATATGGAAATCTCAAACAGTCAAAGTTTTTGCACAGTGTACAACTGGAAGTTATAAAGCTAACATAATTCATGGAACAGTTTTTCAACTCTCAGAAACTGGATCTGTATGAAATATAGTAATTATGACTTTGAAGCAGGTATTTTATCAAAGTAGTAATTTTCCCATGTTATATTTGATTCTTCCAAAACCAAGCATTCAGATTCAAGACCAAATGAGAAGCACTATTTTGAAAACATAAAAGCAGTTTRTCTCCTACCTTGCGAAATGCTGACATAAGAGGGGTAATTTTTCGATTATCTGCAGCATCCACATCTGCTCCTGCTTGCACAAGCAGCTGGACCACGTCGTAGTGCCCACCGTTAGCTGCCAGCCACAGCGGGGTGTTTCCTTTCTTGTTCCGAACATCAATGTGTGCCCCTCTAAAAACACAGAGTCAAATGGGATGAGTAAAGGTGGAAGTCGCAGAGCAAGATCACAAAACAGAGAACAGCAGAGTTTAGAGCTTTAGTAACCAAAATATAGTAGCAAGATATGAGAAATTCTGTCCCTGCAATTTGCTATTTCATTTGCAGGGTAGTGACACGGGGATTACTTAAACCTCCCTTGCAGAAATGAACTTTCATTTCATGTCACCTACTGCACCAGAGATATGCAACCAGCAACCTTTAAATTATCAGTGTGGTGACTACCTACAGGACAAAGCAGACCCTTGAGATTTTAGCAGCACACTGCGTTATGCTTGAAAAACTCAAGAGCTACTTCCAGGCTTTGCCCCTCAAATGACAGTGAGGAAATGCTCACGTGGGAGCTGCTGGATTCACACACAAAAAAGCTGTCCATGACAGACTGTCTGCCTGCCTCTGGTCCCAGCTGCCTGCTTTGCTTAATTAACACTGCAACAGCAAGATATTCCAGGATAACACTGAAGAGCAGGAACAGATTTAACATCTTACTTTCAAAGTTCCCCATTCCCTTTGCTCTCAGGTGCATGAGCTAACGTAAACAAGAGCACCCTTGCCATAGAGGGATCCAGAACACATGTGCCACTAATCATTAGTCATAGATGCTTTGGGTTGGAARGGACCTGAAAGCTCAYCTTGTTCCAGCCCCCTTGCCACGGGCAGGGRTGCCACCCACKAAATCAGGATGCTCAGAGCCCCACCCACTCTGGCCTTAAACACTTAATGAGAAGAAAWGATTTACCGATTAATGAGGAGCTCGCAGAATTTGTAGTGGCCCTTATCTGCTGCAATTGTTAAAGCCGTATCTCTTGAGGAAGGCACAGGTGGGGCATTCACATCTGCTCCTTTATCAAGGAGAACCCTTCCAACCTCYGCATAGCCTCCTGAAGCTGCTTCCATCAGGGGTGTGAGACCAGTCTGTGCAAAGAGAATGAGTTACTCTGTGAAATCTGTGCAATATACTTCAGATAAGACATAAATGATTCCTACAAAGGGAAATCGGATTTTTATTTAGCTGCTTATATTTAGTTTAGGAGCCTAACTTCAAGCAGTCTCTTCCTCAAAAAAAAAAAAAAGCCCAAAAACCCAACCAAAAAAAACCCCAACAACAAAACAAAACACCCACACACAAACCAACCAAACAAAACCAACCCAAAACCCAAATACTCTTGGGCTTTGATTTATACAAACCCAAGCAAACTGTTGACTAAGCACCACCAGATACCTGTCTCAACAGCAAATGCAAAGTTTAAAACAACATCTCTACAACAGAGGTTAGAACAGAKTCAAATGAAGACACAAAAGTTTCTACAAAAATACTCAGAAACTGACTTTATAGCTTTTCTCTAGCCTCCCTTGGCACTGAGACTGATCCGGGCCCAATTTAGTTGCCAGGTCAGACTGTTAAAAAAACTTACACCAGCTGCTAACATGCCCAACTGACCATTTGAGAGCTGGCTTTTATCCATATCCCCTTTTCTCCAGCCACAGTCATTCCAGAAGCAGGCGGGGTAGACAGACACAGCAATTATTTCAGCAGCCTTAGGAGTTACCAAAAATTCCTTTGTGCTGGGGAAATCAGTCTGGCTGTCTACACAAGCTTTAAGCTTGCTTTATGGCAGGAGACAAAGCTGTCCCAGAGCACCAAAGGATGGGACCTGTGGAGCATTTCAGAGGCACAGAAGGTCACAGTACTGAAGCCATGGGTTCTACAGCAACGTAAAAGCTTTACAAAAAAGTCTGACTGCACTACTTCTGTTGTAGACAAGAAGTCTGCTCTATATGAGAATCACAAGCAACACTATTCTCTTCCTGCCTAGACTTCACTTGCATGTAAAAATACCTGTATCTGTTCTGTTACTGAACATCACGTCAAGTTTAWACCTGAAAAAGTCTAGACAAGAGTCAATCCAAGTTTCATTATAAACTTGGACCAGTCGGCTTTTCCCTAATGGAAAAAATTCATCATCGTTGATACTTTTTTATTTTTTAAAAGAAACCAAATTTATTTCAGAACACTTAAGTGCTCTGACGTAATAATTCCTCTGAGCCCAGAAAAACTCAAAGTTACAGGAAAATTTGAAGAAACTTGATGATTCAGAGACAATAAGTCATAAGGAAAGGCAAGTCCCCCACTTACCTTTGCCCTGTGCTCGACATTGGCCTTCCTGTCCAAAAGCAGACTGACCACCTCTGCCCGGCCCTGGAAGCAGGCCAGGGTGAGGGCTGTGTTRCGGTTGGTCTCGATTTGGGCATTGATATCAGAGCCCATATCAAGCAGMAGCTTCACGGCAGGTACGTGGCCATTCATAGCAGCCAACATCAGAGGAGAAATCCCYAGCTTACTCCCAGTCCTAAGGGAAAGAAACAAACTGCAGTGCCCATAGCAAAAGAAAAGCTCCGGGAAATACAAGAGCAACAGAATGTTTTGTTGTAAACCAGAAAGGAACATATAACCTATACAAAATAAAAACACTGATCTAAATAGTAGCATTTTTAATTGATCAGGAGAAGTCACCAGAGGAACTGTATCCAATAGACAATTGCAATTTATAAACAAGGAAAATACATGTCAGCTGTTAGACATCTTGATGGCCAAAGCAGACATAAGCCTTAAGCTACATACACTAAAATCCAGGCTACATCTGACTCTTTAAAAAAAAAAATGCTTCTAGCATAGCTGCATCTTTAACTTTCCCTAGTTAAGAGTTCTTGCTCTGTCTAGTGTTAGAATATATGTAAGTTTTCTTAAAATAAACAGACAGGAGGCTTAAAAGACACTGCTGTGTACACTTACTCCTCTGCCTGAACAGGAAATATTCAAACACAAAGAGCACTTTGGCTTCTTCCTTTACATGGTTCTACTGGAAAGTTTGACTTCCAGACCTCAGAATGGTGGAAAAGGGAAAGAATGGCTTTGCAAACTATAATCCCTTACAACTTAGGTACAAGTCAGATGAAATCTGTGATAGTTAAAGGCAGTTTAAAAGCACTAAGATAACAGGAACACAAAAGATGTCATCAGTGTAGAAAGACTGTTATAAGGAGGTCTGAAAGCACCYGAGATTCCAACCTGTGCCTCAGGATGGACTGGTCATATGGTGTATTACCTGGAATTAATTTCTGCCCCAGCATTGAGAAGAATCTTGATGATATTAACATAGCCACCAGATGCAGCAAGGCTTAATGGCGTGTAATCAGACACATTCCTGTGTTCTTTATTTGCTCCCCGGGCCAACAGCAAATCAACAACCTGAAAAGACAGGAGGTGTATTAACAGACATTTTGTGGCCTTTATTATTATCTTCCAGGGAGTGAAAGGATGTTACCACAAACTTTCCAGTATGCTACCAGCTCCCCTTGTCAACAGACAAGATTCTACAGGAAAACCTCCACYCTCTTCTGCTTATCTTTTCCCTATCTCAGTACAGCCCCCACAGACCATGACCACAGCAGATGAGCACTTGCCTGCCAAAAAGATTATTATACCCAAACAAAACTGCAAGGCTTTAAAGTGAAGCTCTTCCTGGGAATCTTAAGTTTGCAAACAAGGGATCTACCCCACTCCCATAATGTCTCACAATGTTTGARCATCTCCTTCAGAAAAACTTGTTTGACAACTTTAACTCAAATGAYTCTTGAGACAAGTTTGACTATCTGTATCATATGAACTTTCCAAAAAAACACATGGCAAAAGTCAGAATGACTGATGTTAATGGAATCAGCACAAGGAAGGACTCCTCTATCAGAAGTTGCTTAAGAGGAATAAAACAGGAGAAAATGAAAACATTTTGGGTGATTTACTGTGCTTCAGTGGGCCTTATTTTACTATGAACACAAGCTAGGCGATTTCTAAACAAGMCAGAAAAAAGGCTGTTATGCCAGAAACATGAGGTAGATTCTGGCATATGGAAAAAAAAGAGGAAGAACAAAAGACTTCAGTTGTTCAATACCTAATGCTACTCCTACAGGCCATGCTKATCTTGGCTTTTTTCATGAGAAACACTTTTACTCTCATAAGATCTGGAATTCGAAAGTAAAGTGGAAACTTTCCAATTTTGGCTAACTGTTTTAATCCCTAAACTAGTACAGAGCCCTTGGCCTCTCCATGCCATCTTCTAAGGTACTATGAACAGGACTGAAATAGGAAGGATTTAACAATTATTTGGACAACAACACATACACAAATCTGACAGAATTCTGAAACATCCTYAAAAGACTGCTACAGTGTGTCCTGCATTGCATTGGCACTTGTCAGCTCTGTGCATTATCACAAAAGCCATGYACTGTCCACACAGAATCCCAATTTYTGTGCTTGYGTGCCTGCAMCAGCTGTTTCAGGTTTGAGAACAGAGAAGATAGATAACAAAAGTGYTCAGTCAATAAAGTTATTGAATAATTATCTGCTTCCCTCACAGAAGTACTTACCTTGTGAGGATACACCTGACTGAAGAAAGACCACAAGTTATCACAAGTGACCATGACCATTAACTAACAAAACTGGGATAGGCAAGGAAGAGAAGGAAAATACTTCTTCCTTTCTTGGAAGAGAGAAAAGCTCTTGAATTAGCTACACTGAAACAGATGAAAAATCTTCCAGAAAAAAAGTAAGGTGTATCATCAATAGAAGAAACTCAACAGTGTGCAAAAAAACCTATCTGCAAGTAACAACTGGAGCCCTTTGAGGACATGTCTGTACCTCCTGGCGTCCACCGGAGCATGCCAAGGAAAGCGGAGTATCCTTTGTGCGCTCGGACTGTGCCTCTATATCCCCACCTTTGTCCAGAAGAATTTCCACCACACCAACATGTCCAGCAGTTGCAGCCAGAATCAGAGGCGTAAAACCTAGTAACATGAGATTGCATTAAAAACCAACCGTAAGAATCTCAGAAGTGGTATTAAGGAGCAGAMATGCACAAATGGGTTAATTCACAATGACTTCCACTAATCACATCTCTTCCTCAGACTGGGGGTTTCCTGATGAATGCCACAATATCAGAACCTTTCCCACCCTTTTCTGACCCTGTCACATTGAGGCTCTGATTCCAGCCAAAGGCTCTTCAGAAGAAATCTAAACAGTGCTTGCAGTGATCAGTTTGGATTAAGTTCTGACCAACTCCTCTCCTTGGAGAAATCACGGCTTGCTGCCTAATTCCTGTTTAATAAAGCTCCAACCAGTGACCACATTTGCCCTGCGTGTGTTGCTGATTGCCAGTGGTCACTRGAGCTCCAACACATGTGGCGTGGTGGTTTTATTCTCTCAGCTCTAAAAGATGTGAGATTTGCTGAACTCTGCTCCTGAGAACAATATCCAATACCTTGGCTGATAACTGCTACCCTTCAGCTCTGTCAGMCAAGATTTGATGGTTACCCATCAGCTCCTCTATCCAGCTTGCCAAGGTCATTTGTAGAAGGTGAGTGATAAGGACAAAAGTCCCCCACATTTCACAAATCTGCCTAAGATCCCRCTCAGGTGCACTTCCTCTGAAAAATGCAGACAGAAGCTCACTGGCTTGGTAAGACCAATGTTACCACATGAAGTGTAAGAATTCAGTTCACATTTTGAAGTTCACTGTTTCAAGTTATAATTCACAGCCAAATCATATTATTGTTTTCACTTACCCTTCTTGTCTCTGTGTTCAATATTGGCACCACGTGCGATCAGCACAGACACAAGTTCCTCGTGCCCTCCCGCACACGCAAGGGTCAGAGCAGTGTCGTGGTTACTTTCAGTCTTCATGGATAAAAAAGAAAAAGAAGCAGATATTCAGAAATTAAAAATAAAGACAATTTTATTATTTCTACAACACTACTAGATTTTTTTTTTTTCCTTTCAGAACTTCTCAGAAAGCAAACCCACTCCAAGCTAAGCTCCATTACTCACATGTGCATCGATGTCCACTGATGGATACATGGGGAGCACAGCCTGGGAGGGCACATTGCTCGCTGCCTGCGGGCAGGGCTCGGGCGTYGGGGACTCGGTAGCGTGCGAGGAGCTGGTGGAGCCGCTGGGCACTCTGCTATTCACAGCTGAAAAGGAACATCCAGCTTTTAATCCACTCTTAGGAATGCCCCGTTTTATAAGAAAAATATTAAGTCCCATAAAACTGCAATGGTCTAATGTCAAAATGGTAAMAGGGATAAAACAAATTAAATGTTCCTAAAAACAAAAAGCAGCTTTCCGGCAGTTAAACAGTGTAAGCATCATCTCCAAACTGTAATAAGTTAGAAAATAATTTTATTAATTAGTCTGTATGCATTACAAGTGTGAATTATGAAGGTGATTAGTTACCCTTTTCTAACTGTAACCTTCACTGTAAAAGAAGAGTTCAAYCATATGCTCAATTTAAGCAGGCAAATGATTTATCACTAACACACAAACCTAATAAATAGATCTCATTCTGAATCCCAAAATTTTTCATGTAAAGGTTAGTGCACACTTAGCCTCCAGAGAAAGTTTGCAGAGCAAGATGACTGACAGCAACTCCCACTATTAATCATGTCTCAGCTTTAAACCAACCCAGGAAAGTGGAAGTGAAGCAGACAGCAGGGGGCAGTCAACAAAAAAAAAGGAAAGCTAAAAACTGTGCTCCTAAAATTTATTCTGATTGATGCACAGCATGTAAAAGATGTCGATCCTGAAGATCCAGCATTGCTCAGGAACACAAGAAATGCAACTTTATCTTCTTTATTTTCTTAAAGAACAATGTTAAAAAATCGTAATTGAGAATMAGATGTTTTTCACCTAATTTTAAATCAACAAGCAGAGAAATCTCCCTGGACATATCCACTGTGAGGCCAGAACTCCTGCTTGCCTCTGTAACTTGATGAGAGGCCAAGTGGAGCCTGGATCCCTGTAATCAGCTGGGATTACCTGCCAGGAAGGTCTAACACACCTACACACAAGCTCCGTGTGTGCTTTAGCTTCAGTAATCCCTGCTGATTTGACAAGTATTGTCACTGCTGGATTGCCAAATATTGTGCAGCTGATTTGACAGGTATTGTCACTGCTGGATTGCCAAATATTGTGCAGTTGATTTGACAAGTATTGTCACTGCTGGATTGCCAAATACTGTGAAGCCTCATAAGCTGGAAAATCTGGTGAGCTTTAGTTATTCCAAAATACACAGTATTTAGCAGTATTCCTGGAAGAAGCAACTAAAGCAAAACACTAACAGCTACAGGTAAGAAATAAGCAGCAGCRTTTTGCTTTTGTCCAAGTGTTAAGATGATGAACTCAAACTTGTGTATGACCTAAAGAAAAAATTTTGCAAACCTTTCCCAGTTCAACCTTCCTCATTCCATTGACTGATTACACACCAGCAATTACTCACAGGAAAACRGCACAGATGGAAAAGTCATAGAAAAGCTCCCACATGACCATTAATACACTAATTTAGCCTGTAGAGCTGCCTGAACCTGACTAAAGGAAACACAGACTGGAGCACAGGAAGGTGGGTCATTTCCATTGGCTCTGGAGACATGGCAGGGGGGTTCCCTGGAATCTGGGGAGGTTCAGTTTTCAGTTGCATTTTTTAAGCAAAGCATTCTCCTTGGTGCATAGGCAAAACCAGCATTGGTGATTTGGTCATCACCTTTAAGCAATATAGTAYCAGATCTGAATTCCTGTTACAATCTTCATGAGCAAACCAGATTTGTATTAAAAGTTTTAAAYACAAAAGCTCTCACTTTACCTGCTCACTATAGATTACCACTTATAGCAGCAAATGAGCATTTATTAATGCAATACGATTGTTTTCTTGTTTAATACACTGAAGTGAAAGATAATAATTGGATTTCTAAAGATTATTCCTTCCAAAATACAGACACCGTATCACCCTGTTAATGACTTATGCTAAATCAAGCTGGTCCTGCCTCACAAAAAACATTGGCTCAATTTTTTCAGATCTTGCAACTACAGATGCATGTAAAACATGCATGTGCCATGCATGCAGCACAGGGTGTGCAGARGGACTCCACTGGAGCCAGTTTAAGGGTCTTAAAGTAATATATTCAGTGTTGCTGTCACAGGTTCCACAAATTCTCTATATTTCACAACCATGACTGAAAACATCCAAGTATTTCTCACATACTTTAGATTTTCATCATGTGTTTGAAACATATAAGTGTGCACTAAGCACTTCATGTGCACAGTAAAAATGTTAAACATGAGAAAACATCAAAGACAGTAGAAATTAAGATACCCTGYGCTGATACCCTATAATCTGGTTTAAAGTAAAATCTAACAATAAATATTCCTACAACACCCACCAATTAATCACCCCCTCTATAGCTGCWGAGTTTACAAATTGGCAGGATTTTTCCAAGTGCCATTTTTTATTTCCTCAGTGTGGTTGGCAAGTTGGGCCCATGGAGCAGGAGTGTAATTTGTGCTCTGTGGAGCAAATAAAGCCTGAGAACTTCTGCCTCCAGTTTCATGGGGCTGACACTACTTGCCGTCAACTCCAGGGAAATACCAATTTTGTTACAGAGGTTTTAGATGTGTCCATAGACTTCAATATTCAAAATACTTGCTTTTAGAAAAAAATTATCCTACACATGACAAAATCCACATTTCCACCATTCTACGAAGGATTTGCAGGTCTGTCTTAGTATCAGTTGAAAGCTGAATGAGGATCTTTAAAGACATGAATGACTATGTTCAAAGTTCTGAAAAAATATCAAAGGAAATAAACATGAGTAAAACAAAAGAGATAAAGAATTTGGTATTTTATCCAAGTACGATCCTGGAGCATTGACAGTATCTGGAGCAAGCAGCTCCAGATGAGATTTCAGCTGTAGGCTGAAACTATGGCAAACCAACTGCTGTCATGACATGAGCATGGGCATTCAGGAATTTTGRACTTAGATCTTAGTTCCCTTTTCCTCAAAGGAATTGGGATTTTCAGGACACAGAGAACCATCCGTTTTCAAGCCTTTCAGGCAGCTTCTCAGTAACCTGCTACTGCAGAGGCTTTTGCCCATTGATAACTGCAGCTCTTTTCATGCCTCACTCCACAATGTCTAGTAACCAGTTCTAGTCCAAACACCAATCCTCAACACAGTAACTCAGATGTCACCTGCTAAATTCTTACCTTAAAATACCATAATTCTGTATCATCAACTACAACCACAGTGTCAGAACCACAGTKTCTCATTACACACCTGAAATTTCAGTTTAGAAACATCAGCTCACAGGACAAGAGTGGGACAGAAGAGCACACACAGTCTCTTGAGTAAAAATACCAGCTGAGCAAAACAAAGAGAAATAAAAATATTCCAAATAGAGACAAACGCCAGCAACACAGAAAAGCGAGTGCCTCATCTTTAATACTCTAAACCACAAAAAAGCTTCGATTCAGATACTGCAACTAAGAAATTTACTATGGARAATGCAGAAGGTGAACTGAAATGAAACTTAACAAATGCAAGACAAGAGGCTGCAAGAAACCAAATAGATATAGAGTAGTGAAAATCACAGATGTGTTCCAAATTAATGTACTGTTTTCCCATGCTAAACTGCACCATGTCTCTGTCTCTTCTGTAAACCTGATCAAAATTTTGACTGTAGTAAGTCACACCTTTAATGCACTATTAGGTGCAAGATTTTTGCATCAGTGCATCTAAATAAACTCAATTACCACCAAAACATTCTGAAGTGGAAAGAACTGCTTCCTTTTTAGGTTTKAGCTGACTTCCCAAAAGGTACTTGGCTACTTTTGCAGAGCTTCGTGAAAGAGAGGACATGTGCCATAACTCACTGACACTTTGCACCTTGACATCCRCAACCTCAACACCTCCCAGATGGCACATCATGCCAGCAAAATGATAAGATAAATATTCCACTTATGTGTGTTGCCACTGTTAAGTTGGTCAGCCAWATAAAAATTTGTAGCTTCACAGAAATTGAAGTTCTCTGTTACAACTGGTAACRACTGAGGCTTGGAACCATTTGCCTCCTACATCATAGAATCCCAGAAAGGATTGGAAGGGGTTGGAAGGGAACCTAAAGCTCATCCCCAGGTTGCTCCAAGCCCCATCCAACCTGGCCTTGGACACTTCCAGGGATGGGGCAGCCACAGCTTCTCTGGGSACCCTGTGCCAGGGCCTCACCACCCTCACAGRGAAGAATTTTTCACCAATATCCCATCTAACTCTGCCTTTTGGCAGTGGGAAGTTACTCCCCTTGTGTAACTCCATCCTGTGTCCCAAGTTCCTCTCTTGAAGCCCCTCTTTAGGCACTAGAAAGGGCTCTAAGGTCTCCCTGGAGACTTCTCCAGGCTGAACAMCCCCAGSTCTCACAACCCGGCTGCAGAGCAGAGCAGCTCYATGGCYTCCTCTGGATATCACCACTGGTAAAAGCAACAGCAAAAGGTATTTTGGGCAGAGGGAAAAGTAATTTCTGTTCTTCTGAAGCAGTCCTCACCTGAACTGAAATACTCAGCAGGAATAAAAAACATTCATACCTCTTCTAAACCCTGAGTCACTCACTACCATCATTGCATGGGATCAAGGGGATTCCTCACTGGCACCCCAAGTGGGACACAAGCTCCCTAAAAGCCAAGCCTCACATGCACCAGGTACAAGCCCCTGAACCATTTTATTGGCATCTGTAGCAGGCATGTAAAAATCTGATCTTGTAACAGCTTTTGTTGCTCAAAATTTCTTTACAAAATTAAAAACTAATGGGCAGGTTTGTGGAAAAAGCACATTTTAGATATGGATCAAAGAGTTCAGAGTATGAGTGGATAAATTTACACTTTGTTTTTACACAGGATATAAATCCTGTAGTAGGATTATAATTTACATGGGGGTCACTTTTACAGTCTGGATTTACAAAGTGAGAAAAKTATCTATCTTCTGACAATTTTTCTCAGAGGGGAAGAAAGTGAAAGAAATGCACRAATTTCAGAAGAAAATATATTTCAATAAAGCAACATCAATAATTTTTTGCAGAAGCCTCTGGAATTCAATAGCTACAGTCTCCTCAAGTTGCATTTCTGWAAATGTAGTTTCTAACATAGAAGAAGGTACTATTGGTAGTGATKTCTGAAATACATAAATCTCATGTCTTAGCAAAAAATGTCTTTAATTACTTAGCAAAACCAGTAGCCATTTTCAGAAAACAAACCAATGTCTATTCAACTTTTTAAAATTATTTTTAAGATAGTTTTTTTTGGTTGTTTGCAATCTTTTTTYCCACAGCACAGTTCTCACACTCAGCAGCACTGCAGCACTTTTCACTCTGTGGGGGCACTGAGTTTGTGGCTGTCAGAGCTGCTGACAGAGGGTAGAGGGTACAGACTCCATGGTCTTGTGCCAGACACGTTCAACTCTCAGCAACAGCAACAACTCCAAAAATTAATCCTTTCCTGATTGTTCTGCATTACCTATTAAAATTTTCCTCCTTACAGACTCCAGTACTAAAATTYTGAGTAATAAAAACTGAGAATGTTTTAATGTTGGCTGAGTATTCTGAAGAGCACCACAGAGAAATGAGGGAGGCTGCATGCCAGAACAGGGGGAACTAAGACTGATGCTCTATAAAACAACTGGAATTACACCGAGGAGAGGACAGGAGCTGGTACAACCACCCCACTACTCCACCAACTCTGGGTGCCATGGAAAGTTGCAAAGTCTCAAGTAGTCTTGACTTGCATGAGATTGATGCAATTACCATTCCAAAGGCTCCCAGGAATGGCTGGACAAGATCTCACTGCACACTTCTACAGCCTTGACATGAACTTCAGAGGACAAGGCAGCGAYTACGAAACGGGAGGGGCAAGGGGAGACAGACAGGAAAATAATGGGCAGGGGGACAGGCACAAGGTACAAACAAAAGTTGAAAAACACTGAATTAAAAAACAAAAAAACTACAGATCAAACAACACTAGCTATATCCTACATACCTCCAGCAGCAAACCTCAATCCTAGTCAAGTCCACGAAATGAAGTCACCCAAAGTGAWCCCTCTCTTTGCACAAGAGGACTCACACAACCCGATGTGAGGGCATTCCCATTCCTCTTCACACCGTACCAACACGTGGAAGGATGTTGGGGTTTTTGCTTTTCATCCAGCTAACGGGACACGTTTGTGCCATGTAGAACATCTAACCAGYAGATACTCCCGTACAACACCCGGGGTTTAGCGGGGATTCTGCAAACACAAGCCAGCACAGAACGGAGCGGTTGTGCGTGGATTCCAGGCTGTGCTTAAGCTCCAGCAGCAATGAGAGGGACATGTTTGTCTGTACAAGTGACAACAATTTGGCTTTTTCTAGAGATGGCTACCACATTGAAGGAAGTCACTGATAAGCCTGCACAGAAAATTCTACAGAAGATATAAATCTGTCATGCTTTTGGGTTTCCTCTTGGGCACTACTAATCATGATGAGGCTTTTTAAAGAAGCACAGAAAAAGATGAGGCCAAAGGGGCTAAAACAGGTGTCCCGTACAGGAAGTTTTGCACTTTGGRAAAAAAAGATATTTAAAAGTATAATGTTAGAATTGGAAGTTACTGTTAGGATTAATAGCACTAATCAGGAACTTTATTCTTAAGCAAGTATTCCCAAACTGGAAAACCCCAAGACGTATTTGGAGGGAAGGAGAGAGAGGGAAACTGAGCACACAAATTAATGCAAAAATAGGTATATTTCTTAACCCACCTGCTATTAGGTCATCAAGAGTGTCGGTAAGCGTCTGTGCTGGAGTGGCAACCATTAATCCGTCTGGTTCTTGAACTAAGAGCCCCTGCCCAGCAATTTGCTGCTGCTGTCCTACATTCTGCTGATTCCCTAATGCTTTCTGAAGTTCAAGAGACTCTGTCCCATTATAACCTAAGTTACCAGAAAAATTACATTGCGGTGCTGGTAAAGGCTGGATRGGAACAAACTCTATTTGTTCAGCAGGTGCTGGAGACTGGTGTTGCTCGTCATCTTTAGACAAGATTGTGTCAACCTGAGGTAACCCTGAAAAGTTATCCTCTGGCAGACCCTTATCGGCTTCCACTTCTGGGAAGACCCCTGTAAGTGAGCACTGCTGCTGCAGGGCAGGTGGTGTGTCTGTCTGACCTTTGGTCTCCAAATATTCTTTGGTAAACTGCTGTTGGGTTTTCATCTGCAACTGCCTTTCCACCTTCTGCAGCTCCTTCAATATTTTCTTCTTCTTCTGTACTTGTTCTTCTCTGTTCTTTTTAAGTTCTTCAATCTTATCTTTATTTAAAGGTTCACCTTGAATTAATTCCAATGATTTAAGTTGTGCTTTTTCAATAGCACTAATTCTCTGTCCAAGTTCATTCAGCTTGCCTTCAGTCTCTTCTACTATGCATTCCAAAGGCTGGTATGGGTGAAAAGGTGGCAGTAGGTCCTTATCTGCTACCTGCAGGGAACTTGACTTCTGCTTGGATGCACCTAAGCACATGAAAAATGTTTGAAAAAATGCCATGCTGAAGATACCCCAAACCTCCCCTCTCACCCACCAAAAATAATAAAAATAAAAAATAAAAAATAATAATAAAAAAATCTTTACAACTAACTGCACATCTGTCAAAGCACAGAAAGGCAAACCCTGCACTGTGTTAAGACAAGAAAGGACAAAGCAGATAGCTGGAATGTTCAGTATTGGTCCTCATAGCCCCTTGAGCACAGCTATTTCAATCTCACAAGGAACCTTTACGGCTTCTTACATACGTGACAATGCACTTGGAAATGAAAATCAGCGAGAAGAGCAAAGCAATTTACATGATTTACTGAGTTCCCAAAGTTCTTCTGTGTGTGCAGAGCTTAAAGTAAGAGTATTTTCCAGAGGCTGACTTCCGACAGCAAGGTTATGAATAGAAAGACTATAGTTGAGAGCAGACTAACCTGACAGTAAGATATGATACCGTGAACTACAATTTCTCCAAATACTGTAGCATTCACCTTCACATTACAAGCAGAATCCTGCTACTGCAAACTTAGTGCATACAAGCAAAGTGTGAAATTTAGCACCTTTCGTAAAATTCTGGGACCAAACTAACAACTTGCTCACTTCCCCTTTCAGTAACAAATGAACAATTCTGTTCATTGTAACAGCTCTAAAAATAACCTTCACCAAAGCCCACCAAAACTGGGCAGCACTGCCCCAAGCGCTGACTGCCCTCAAGCAACCCATGGCTGCTTTCCCAAAAGCCACATCTGGGAAAGCTTTATTTACATCTCACTAAAAGGAATATACTAAGTGCTGAAATTTTAATTATTACTCCAGTGTCAGAACTTTAATTAAAAATGTGGAAGGTTTTAGCCTGATCAAATAATTTTCTGCACTAATACTCATCTACTTTACCCAAACGGTGATAGATGGAGCCTTGAGAAAAAAAAAAAATAAAGAAAACTTGAAGCTTTACAAACCAGACTTATACAATTAATCATTAAAAGGGGAACTAAAATTATGTCTAGKTTGAGCCATGGTTTAACGAAGTTATCTAAACATCACATAGTTAAGTCAAGGTCTGGAAGTAAGAACTAAGTCCTAGATCAGTCAACAGCCCTGGAAGGATTAAGCTCCCTGAAACACAGATTTATTTCTCTCTGGGCCATCCTYCACCAATACATTAATTCACAAACAACTTCACTTTGCATTGATGTCAAAACAAGAATCACATACACCTCACTTAGAAATGAATCTTACTTGGAAGAACTAATTGTAAAYCAAATATGAGATTTTTCTCTTATAAAGAGAAAGAATAAATACTAAAATAGAGTTGGACTATCTCTGTACTGTGCACCTTTGGCAGACTCCCTGAAGTGAAAGAGAAATATCTAATTATATGGGAAACAAGAATCTTACTAATCCCAGGAAATAGCCCAGAATTCCACAGCCACCCTTCAAGAACCCCAGAAAACAGCCCAACATCCCACAGCCACTGGAGCCACCCWTCAGGATGTTCCTCCTGCAGCTCCAGACTCTGGGCAGGTCAGTAGCTCCAGCTGAGCGCACCTCTTCCCACCACTGCTATTACTTTGCCTCTGAACCCTGAGTCCCCAGACAAYTTCTCAGCAGAAAATAAGGAATTTGGGGGAAGTTCAGCAGTCCCTGGTCCTGTGCTGGCTAGTGGCTGTTTAGCTCGAGCCCGCTCTAACCCGTGGCCTCTTTGGCTTTGTCATGCACTCARGGTTGATATTTTCATTTTAACAAGTGTAACTTACAGGTTTTTGAGACCACCCTTGAGAAATAAATTTCACTCACCAAAAATCTCTGAAAGGCTTGTCTCTATCTTTGTTTTGAAACTAAGCTGTGCTCCACTACTATAGTAACCAAACTGCAAATGCACCCTGCCGTCAGCTGAGATGGGAACCCTCTGCCCTGCTCCATTTAATGTCATCCCTARGGTTCCTGTATCTATCATTCCCACCCTAACACAAGGCATTCCCACAACCCAGCAGCTCTGGACACCTTCCATCACTCTAGGCAAGAAAAGCTGCAGTTCAAAGAACCCCCAAAATAATGAAGTATCAATGTTGTCCCTCTCAGCTAAGTCYGACCTGGGAAGAAAACAAGCCTGTCATGGGAGAGCTTTTCTAGGAGCACAGAGAAAGGAAAGAGCAGAAGCACAACTCCACCTTGAGAGCTGGGCTGGGCTGAGGAGCCAAGGCTGCAGCTCCAACCAGGAACCATCACAGGAAGGTGGGAAAGGTTCTGAAGAGAGGTGTTAGGAAACCAGTAAGTGAAGAGCTGGGCTCTCTAGGTCCAGGAAAGGCACAGAAATTTCCATTAATTAGCTGCTAATTAGTTAGCAGRGCCACTTTTAAGGTTCCAGATCATCCTTTCTATGCCAGAAAACAGTTGCAACCTGTAACTGGAGATACTGGAAGAGGATGAGAGAGGAAGAAAGATCTGCTAAACCTGACATGTCCACCTGAACCATCAGGTCAAACCAGAGGTGGGGAAGACATGGTTGGTAGCTTTGAATATGCAAACATTGGAATAGAATATTATCAAATTAGAAGTACTAAGAAGTAGGATTTCCTGGTTTCTCCAAATCTCCTCTTTATTACAATATCCTGAAAAATACTAACTATCCTGAAAAATACACACTAACTGTGCCCATGTTAGTGCACAATTATGAACAGACACTTTATGCTTTCACTTTTGAAATACATAAGTATAGTAAGACCTAAGAATCCAATCATAGACCAGATCATAATGATGTCAACTTTAAAAAAAAAATTATTTTGTACATTTATCTTTTGGGGGCAGCATCAGTCATCTACACAATTAAGCTGTGAATCTGGCCTCCAAAGCAACTATTTCTGTCACTTTTAGAAGACTCGTTTAGCATGAAAATAAGTTGTTTAGACTGCAGATGACTGAAATACAGATGTTGCTACACAAATACCACATGCTATCCAGTACCATGATCATAGGAAAAGAGTTGATCAGCCRACAGAAAACCCAGAGTGGCTCTGGGCATGCTAGGAAAGCCACAGAGTAAAGAAGGGATTAATTCCCCAATTATTTTGTGAACAGTACCACCAGTTGCTTTTATTTGCATTTCCACAACCCCACAAATTCTGGTCCCTACCCTGTCCAACTCAGCCTTCACCACAATTCCTGCAGAGTGTGCACATCTTTAGCCAGATTTGTGACCAACACGTACAACTCAGGGTAAGACCTACTCTGCCCCAACACAGTTTTCCATCCACTTCTCTGATTCCCACTTCTCTCCGGGAAGAGAGAGGTGTTTCCTATGGCAATTTCCCATGCTTCTCCCATACATTTAAGATCATCTCCCACAGATCTGAGCTGCAAAAGTCTGTTCACCCCAAGGAACTTCTCCCAGGCATCATTCCTGGTCTCTTGAGCATTCAGTAATGTGCAGAGAGGACACCRTGACCAGGTTTTAATGCTTTTGGCTGCAAATAACACCTAAAGTCCCTAAACACTGTAAGCCAACAGTCTGGAGAAATATCCTTCAGTTTTGTAGTCCTCAGCTGGCAATGAAACTCTTCTAATTTAAATTTGCTTAGAACACATTCAGTATTTATACAGTTACTGCCAACAAACAAGTCTGATACCATATTTCTTCATGAGTGGTTATGATTCTCAAGGAACTTGCTCTTCCAGACCTGACTTATAATCCACAGGATGTCACTTCTCTCAGGAAAGAACAGATTTACATGCCTTTCAGTTGTATTACACTTTATATATTTTATTAGATGAAATTCTGATATTTTTTAAAAGCTCCTTAATGTCTATTGCCATTGTTAAACAAAAAAAGAAAAGTGTATCAAAATCCAAACAATAAAGTCCAAAAGATTTCTCCGGCTTAAAAAAATGACAGTAAGAAAAAAGTCAGCTGTGTGATACACATTTGGACATTCAAATACACCTTCTCAGCTGGAGAACCTGTTATATAAACCTGTATGAATCACCATGTCATTTTTGTGCTCTGTAACAGAATTGYTTGTCCGTTTTTCTTACACACTTGGGGGATTTTTTTAAATCTGATTTTACTCAGAAGTTGAGAGTTCAATTTGCAGCCTGCAATTAAAACTCACCAGCCTCAGGAATAAAATGAACTCAATATTGAATTTTCATGAAAATTCTGCATTTAATTGTTACTTGTATCCGTAAGAAATTAATCTCTAAGGACCTGGAGAAACAATCAGTTGCTCCATACACACACAAATGCAAAGTACAATATTACATAATCTTGCTATTTTGGGAAAAAAAAAGCCTACTTTTCCCAAGCAAATGGTTTTTAATACATACTGAATTCTTCTTTGTAAAGAAGAGGTTAATTGGTAGAAGGTTGAATGATGAGATGAGTTTATCTGTTCCTCCTGGAACCATGGAGTAATTTTGCCAGTCATTATCTCTCCTGCAGCTGTTTCTATGAAAAATTGCAGGGAATAGGTGCAATGCTATCCATCAGGCAATGGCTACACAGCTGAAACCAAGCCAAACTGAACTCAATTTTCAGCCATTCAAAAATTTGAGTTACTTTCCAATCTTAGTCTCCTTCCCAAATTTCCTCTGGTGGCTTCATGGTATCTAACTAGAAAATTGCTAAGATGTAATTGAATTAACTGGTGACAAGCAGGTGACTGAAGCTTCAAAGGAGCAGAACTTTACAATCCACCATGAAAAGACTGTGACACATTTGTGCTCCTGGGGACMTACACGTGCCTTGGTGTCAAATCACCGGCCTGCACTGCTGAGGATTTGCAGAAAAAAAGTTTTTAAGTCTACAAAGAAAGTATCAGTGAAGTTCAGAAGTCAGGAGGTACAGATGGTGAAATCTCCCTTGGGAACTCATCCCAGACACCTGGGCTAGCTGCTGACCCAGGCAGGGAGTTGCCAGGAGGAAAAGCAAGAGTTGATCAGAAGATGTTGAAGCACATTAAACCATGAACAGGCAGCTGGGACTGTGCAGTAGAAAAATGTGGTAAGAATCAGAATGCAAAAGCTGGAAAAGCAGGAACATCTGTTTGCCTTACTAACACCTTTACCTCCATGAAAGCCGTATAACTTCCTAGTTTTACTGTTAACCTGGCCCCTATTTTTATTAAATCACACAATGCGTGAGATCTCAGCTGGGATATGGAACTCAGYATTAGGCACAGAAGTCAGATATCAGAGTAAAAAAATATTTATTGAATTTGTACCTATTGAAGTTACATACAGTTTGTTTTTCTTCCCCTTCTCCACACCATCAGATTGTTAGATTTACCATGGGGATCCAGGAGATACCATACATTGAATATCTAGCTGAGAAAGATTATAGATTCCAGAAGTACTACTCAACTTTAAGGGAACTCTGATCTCCTTCACAGGGTTCAAAGGCAAATGTGGGCAGCTTTCACCTGAATAAGTCTATTTGATTTTGTGGAATTCTAAAAGCACCCTGCACACCAAATGAGAACTGCTGCAAGGTASTGCCCACTTAAAAATGACAGTAAAAATGTTAATGACAGCCTATTAACAGATTTTAAGTACTCACTTTAGGCCAATTAGTTCATTCATAAGCATAATTTCAGAGTTACTATGAAGTAAAATAAATCTGGAGAAAATTTACTAAAAAACTGACACCTCAGTCTCCAAAATCAGACTACTTTGAACTTTAACATGTTTAAAAACAGCTGATATTATTGAAAATATTTTGACTAAGAAAACAACCTGGCTGCTTCCCACAGGCTCCCTGGGCATCCCTTGTTGTCCCAGCATGTCTGATGAAGACCTAGAGCATGCCCTGTGCTCAAGMCCTGTGCTCTCCAGGACACCACACAAGGCTCTGCAGTTGCATTTACAAAGCAGACAGCATTATCAACAGCTGGTTTCCTAAGAAATCCAGCAGCATTCCTTTAGACCATTCCTGGGCTGGGCTTCAATCGCCTCTCCCAGGCAAGCAGGAGCATCTGGAGCTGCAGCAGAGCCCTGCAGGGGACAGCCCCTGTGGGGTCCTGCAGGAGAGCCCTTTGGGTCTGTGCAAACAGCACACTTGGGTTTTGTACTCAAAAAGCTCTTTGTGCTGAGCTGCTGCATCACAGCTGCTGCTGAGCAATCCTGCCCTGCTCAGCAAAGAATCCAAGGAAGGGATCTCCTGCCTCTACCCATGAAAGCAAAAAGAGCTGAACTGCACTGAGATTTCTTTTACATGGACAGAAGAGACACATGCTAAATGAAGTGCACTGAGAACAATCCTTCCTAAGCATGARAGAGCTGAGGTCTGGTCAGTCCCACAACTAATTCTGCTTCTGATATTTCTTCAGTTCTTTCCAAGTTATCATCTTGGTGTGTCACCTTTATCCTAGCCTTTCTAGATCCACTGTTGCCTCTGAAATRTTTCCCTTTTCAGTTGCTAAACACRATATTAAATCCTTTGCCAAAATAATTATTCAAATGGTAATGACCCCACATGCCTTCATGCTTTACTGAAGAGTAATAATGAAATTCAAAATTAGACAATAATTTGCTCTTGAAAAACCTCATGCCATATCTGAACCGTAATAATAACACTTAAGTGTGTTCAAGTTTTACCCTTTCACACTTTGACTTGCCAGGAGCTCTCCAGAAAACAAAGTGTCACTATCTCATTTCTTGCAAAACTCACATAGGCTGATAAAAAAAAATCTTACTGTGCTAAGTTTAAGAAGGCAAGGTACTGCTCTCCTGCCTCCCAGTAGTTCAGAGTTTATACAAAGACTCAGGGGCTACTTCTAATTGAAGGCAAGTAATTGTTCTGCCTGCAGATAAATGATTTTGTTATGCAAGAACTTGACTGCTCTGCTGCCTCAGAAATAACGAACTCCTTAACTCATCCCCTCTTTTGCCCCTCCTCTCCCAAAAAGTTTAGTGATGGAAACCTGGTGAATTAAAAGCCACRTGTGTGTAACAAGTTACAAATGGCAGTTCAGCACAGCACACCAACTCTGCACTGCAATGAGCACACAGCGTTTAGCACAAAAATACCATTTTCCCCCTAAAGAACTGAGAGATACAAAAGCTTTGCACAGAGTTTTTGGGAATGCTTCATCAGCCYGATGACACATTTGGGATTGCTGCATCTCCTGCAACACAGCACGAGGAGTTTTGCTGACATGCATGAAGCATGTCCTAAACCTCTGTGAACAATGAGATTTCCCTGTGCCAGTCCCAACATCATGGTACTGCAAAAAACACACCTAAGGATGTGCTGACATTGGCAAGAAGGTACTTGTAATGAGAGCTGTTTCCTAAACTACAGTCAACTATTTACTTTTCATGATTTGATTAAACAGCATGAAACTTCTAGCTTTTAACTTCATTCTTCTGACTCAGCATCAACTAATCCCCGATTCCCATGCACCACAAAATGTGCTCCCAGAACACTCCCACTCTGCAGTACTAACAGGCATTGAACTGGAAGGGCATATGTGCTGGTATATTGCTTTTTGGTGGGTTATTTGAACCAGAAGTCACATATTCATTTGTTTGGTATCCATTTTTATGAAATCCAAAATATGAAGTGTTGCACATCCTAGGAAATGAAACAGCAAGTGCATCTGAGAGGTCACACACATGGCATTTGCAGGGAGAGGGACACAGCTGCATATTGAGACACCAGCATGTACACGGTATTTTTCTCTCTTCATCTGTGCCCCTAARGGGTTTAATGTTTGTTTGTTTGCTCTGCAAGCATTCAGTGATTCCTAAAACAAAGGATTTATGGAGATCTAGCTCACAGAGCTTTGGATACTGTAATGATTAAGATCCTTGTCCAAAACTCTACATCATTAGGAGCTGCAGTTTGTACTTTGCACTTGAGAATCTGCTTCTCTTTCTGAGCTGACTTAGCAAATATCAAGATTCTGTTACAGAATTCACAGCTGGAAACAAACTCCTTAATTGCCATTTAATGATTGCAAGGAGTTCTAGCCAATCAGTTTGACCATGTTCAAAACAAAAACTCTGATGTAACCATTACTTACAGAAGAACTATTTCTAATACAACAAAAACTCTCCTGTAAGTAGATCTGCATTGGCATTTTATAGTGCCAGCATGTTTGCATTGCTACTGTAGGAAAAGAAAAAGGTTGGTGTATCAAGTCCATGGATAATAGCTGCAACTATTCTAGAAGATCAATGTACAATATTCAAAAGTGAACACCATACCTAGAGTACATTAACACTTTTATCTGTTTGCACTATGGCAGTTACCACAAGCATTTTCTTCCACAAAGAACGGAATAAGCACAATTCTGATAAATTAGAATAAGCATAATAATGTTAGAAAAACCAGTGCTGCTATCCTGTAGAATGCAAGAAAATAAGGAAAAAACTATGAACTATATGAAATAGTTTTAAATTATACTTCATTAGAGGTGTTTAAGAACTGATGGAATGGACTATGCTATGCATAAGCTCTAATAAGATGGTCCCCAGTCTATCCATTTCCAAACCACACATATCATATATTCTCTGAGTGGCTACATACTGACCTTTCACCACTCCCAAGAGAGGTGGGGAGTTYTCTTGAGGGGTTCTGTCAGGCTCCTGGGGAGGTACAACCATAGCAAGCGTATGCACCGGGACACGGGGAACCTTAAAACAAAGGCAAMGATACACACTCAGGTCAAAACACCTTCTGGCAGAGCAGATCTTCAAGTGTTAATACAAAGAGCACGCTCCAGTCCACTCTTCCCAAACTGTGTATCCCATGCTACCTCTTGGTATGACCTTCCTGTGCTACTCTATTGGGGATAATGTCAAAGTTAACTGTACTCTGTATAAAATCTGAGGCAGTGTTGGCTAGAAAACTGTTAATTCCTTGGAAACTTCCCTGGAAAGCTGCTTCTTGAGACTGTAGAACTCTGAATTTACCCAATATATTTYCTTTTATATAACAAACTGAGTAACATCATGTGAGGGGTGCTACCAACAAGGGTTTAGAATTGTTGAAATGAAATACCAATAATGCAGGAAAGAAAAATGCAGGAAAGAAAACATCCTTTTGAAATCTTAGGTTTGGGACTRTGTTAAAGCAAAAAAGCTCATGTGTTCTTCAGATCTTTGCATGTAGCATCAATTCTCTCACTTTCTATCATTGTCATGTGTGCAGGGTTTTTAAAATTCCTTCCACTGCCTATGTTCATTTTCAAATTAACTACTACAAAAGTGCTTCTTCCCAACATTGATAGTGCTATCCTTATGCCTTACCTGAGACTGATCCTGAGATGGAGGTGTGAGCTGGGACAAGTCTGCTGCAGGAACCGACAGAACATTGTTTGGGTAATCCAGCAAGTAAGAAACAACATTTGTGTGTCCTCCCTTGGCAGCTTCAATGAGCATTGTTGAGCCATCCTGAAGTGAGATTTCGGAAACAAAAAGTGAGAAGATGAGTTTTGCTACCTGGTGTAGCACCCTCATGTAAGATATGATTCTATGATTTAAATTTACTACTCCATAAATCAGCCAGGTGGTTCTTTCAGAACCTATGAAACACAACTGCTGCAAGTGAATACCTTGAGCCGATGAGTAGGATCTGCCCCGTGCGCCAGGAGAAGTTCAACCACGGCCAGGTGACCTCCAGCACAGGCCAGGGACACCACTGTGTGATCATTGTTGGCTGTAGCTCTGTTCACATTGGCACCTAGTAAGAGAAGATCTTAGAATTAACACAAAGAAATTCTTTCCAAGAGAAAGTATCAACAAGTAYAGTATTTTGTGGAACAAACTTTACTCTTCTAATCCAATTACTTCCTACCCACTTCTTGGGAAAGAGCAAGGGATTTCAGCTAACTGATTGGCTTCTATACATCATCCTCCTCACCTTGTAAAGACAAGACAGTAGCAACAGCAACAGTAGGCTTGTAAGTGTTAAATGAGGGAACACATGGTGCAAGAAGCACACTTCCAAATGTTCACTCTAAGCTCTGAGCAGTATCACTATGTGGTACAGTTGCTACTGTTTCAGACAGTACTTGATGTGCTTTTCTGAAGGAGGAAGTGCTTTTTTTAAGAAACTGAAAGTATCTGCTGTACTTCAAATCTAATCTATACAACAGAGTAGCAAAAGTTAACTAGCAAAATATTTTGTAATTCATTCAAAAAACCCTTTGGGGTTTGACAAATGCATATATACATAACCAGAATAATTCTAAACATTAATCACAAACACGTGGCACACTAAAGTGGCATTTAAAGCTTTTTARTAAGTTATTTAAGCTAGCATTTACCTTTGCTAATAAGGAATTGCACGGTGCATAAGTGACCAGCTCGTGCAGCCTTCATTAGTGGGGTCCTCCCACCTTCAGATTCATGCTCCTGGAGAAGAAACAACAGATGTATAAAYGGGCAAAAATTGTATCACTGTTTCAGATTCTCAAGTATCTTGTGATGGGACCAGAATTACCCATTTCAGTAGAAGATTTATCTCACAGGCAGACAGACTGTAATAAATATAAACTGACTGGAGTAAATTTTCATGTTACCTTAAATACTAAATCCTGTTAGAAAGGACTAAGACCACACCCATACTGGTATTGCACCAGGAAGCTTCCATACTTACACCCCCTTTTTATTTTAATGTTCAAATGTATAACATAAATGAGAACAGTGACATCTTGTTTCCTCCTCAAAAATGGTGGCAGATTAACACAAATGTCATCCAGCATCAGGATATAACAATAACCACAAACTGTGGGGCCACAGTCCAGAGAGCTGTCACGTGCTGCCACACCTCCAAACTGCAACAATGCCTCGAGTGCACACAACATTCATAAAACATACTGAAGAGGAACAATAATAAAAATGAGACAAATCACTGCAGGTCACAAGAAATATCTAAATAGGATTGGAGAATAAAGCAGAAAAATGAGAAAAGGATGATACAAACCAACAAAAAGGGAAGGAGCGTCAAGAATAATTTTCTAATTTAAAAAGTTTCTGAATGCTGGGAAGATGTGGTTGAATACAACTGTATTAGAGCAGTTACAGAACTAGACAATGTGCCTGCTATGCAGACATGATCAATACCACAAAGAATGCTGAGCAATGGTACCAACCCTCCCGCAGAACAAGGGGAGAGAACATCACCTTCCTGGGAATGTTTGTATGTGCACTCTATATTCAGTATTATCCTATTTAAAAAATATTCAGTCTGATCAATAATAAACTAGGAATATGTGGTTTTTAATCAAGTATCTGGGAAGCCAAGCTCTAAATTCACTGTTTACTTTGTAACTGCATGTATGCCTGTGAGTGAAAGTTCACATTTAKTACTGACAGTGGATGACACTGCTACTTACAAATACAGTCAGACAAGAAGTGATTTTACAGAACAACTCAATTCCTTCCCATAGCTTCAGTATTCCTGAAAACTCTGCATATGTCCTTTGACATATGGCTTGCTTTGGTTGCAAGCTGCACATAAAGTTAGTTTTCTTTCATACACTTGAAGAATAAACCTCTTGACTGGATCTTCTGYTGGAGACTGGCCCCCAGTCCAAGCCCATCCTTCACTGTAAAAGGTTACATTGCCCCTCTCCTGCTCAGCTCCTCAGCTTTCACAAAAGCTCTGTGTTACTGTCCACCACTGCTTTAACACATGGCTAAATCCCACATTAGTGTTCTGATTTCTTTGCTTACTCAGAATTATAACACACAAGTGCATGGAGGCTGACAGAAAACCTTACAGACTTACTACTGAAGTATTTTTTTTTTTCTTAATTAAATAGATCCCCTTCCCAGGGCAATAATGACTGCTTAGATGTCAATAAATGCCTGCTTCTGGACTGTGCATGGCAAAAACATTGGCARGGCATATAAAGCTAATTATGTTAACATGTGGCCCTACAATTTCAAGAATTAGTAGCATGCCCTTGAACTCTAATGCTTACTCTAGTATTTGGCATAGTTTTTCCTTCCTCAGCCACTGCCAAGAGACCCTAAAAAGCCAGATGCTGCTGTGTGCCTGAAGCATAGCAAAGCCCTGGTYCCACCAGCACATCATTCCCAAGGCAGCTGTGGATGCAAAGAATTCCTGACCACCATTCTGCTCTGGGSAGGACCTGGACACTGCTGCCTGAACTATTACATACCCAGTTCTAAATYCTCACTGMTGCAAAATTTATTTTAGCTCATCTTAGCTATATTCAAGGTAGTTAAAAGCATCCTATATTGCAGAGAGATGTAGCAGATAACTGGCAGTAAGGTATAATTATTTGCAACATTCTGCCTTCCTAACAGACTTCGCTGTTGGAAGCCTTAAACACGGGACACCAGGAGGCTTCCTCATTTAAATGCAATGCAGTGATTCTGCCCAGTTTAACCAACTGTCACTTCCTCAAGCAGGCAGAACTTGATCCTCAGCTACTATACGTTTCCAATCCTTGCAGCACCATGCACACCATCAGCCCAGCCAAACCAAACCATTTGGGTGCCCACCTGCTGTACATCTTCAAAACTTACGCATTTTGATGGTATTTTTCACATTGGAAGATAGAAGTGCATATTTTATTTTAAGATTAAATTCATTCTGACTTCAGAATTAGCTAATATTGGCTATCAGACAACATCAACTCAAGCTCTAAGGGAAGACATCTAGGACAAGCCAAAATAAGAAGCTGAGACAGTGCAGGGCCTTTGTYTACTCACATCCTGTCTTTTTACCTAGAATAATCATAAATTTCAAAGGTTTTATATATCTTTCAGCTGCATTAGATAATCAAAATCAGGACAGAGCATGAAAGTTGTCCCAAAGAATCCCCATTACCTCTCCAGTGAGCTTTTCCCTTGTATTTATATGAAGTGCACATCAATGCTTATTTTGTAAGATCTAAACCCAGTAAATTGTCTCCAAAGACACTTCYCTTGCCTCTGCACTGTAGGACTCACCAAAGTATCCCATCTCTTGTCACTGCTCCARCCCTGAGGAATGTGGTAGTTAGCACAATGAGGAAGAGGAAGAAAGGAGAACACCTCTGCCACATTTGGAAATCCATTCTCTAACCCCCTGGCTGAGGTGCTCTCCTGCTAATTCTGCTGGGATAGAAAGAACACCTGAGMAGCATTTTCTGTTTGGGTAACAGACAAGAAAGGAGGGGAAAGTGAGAATGTTACCAAAATCAGGCAGGAGTTTACACTCTCTGCATCTTTTCCACTGGGACTCAAAAAGGAGATGAGATTCCAGTCAKCAATAATTACTTCCTTTCTAGACAAATCAATACTTCCAAGTGCAGAGCAGAAGCAGAGTCACCAGGAGCATTTTACAACACTCATCARTATTTTTTAATTCCTCCTTTTGAGTTCTCTAGTTTAGGCAATTCCAAGATTAGCTACATAAAGGCTWTCCCACACACAATTCTTCTTGGTTCACAAATATTCATGGTTATAATAATCACTAGGGTAGTTTTTTGTGAGGTTTTTTTCCAATGTTGCATGTTATTTAGAAGTTCAGGAAGAAAATCTGTATTTTCAAAGTAAAGGTCCAACTTCTCAGTTCTTTAACAAACTTCCCTCATCCATGACAACAGCAAATATTTAACAGAAATCTAAATATTATTCTAAACAAAATTATCTACAGAAAGCTTTTGATGCAAAAAAMCACAGTCCCTAACACTTAGCTAATTTTCAAGACTGAACTTCTATTCCAGCAGTCACCAACCTGCTTGCCCTAAATAACCTTCCTGAGATATGTGGCAAACCAGTATTTCAGGAGCACTTAAAAACTCAACTAGGCCTCTAAACTGAACACCTAAAAAGGGAATGCCTTAGAGGAAACTATCACATTTAAGAGGGCTGTTTTTGCTAACACTCAATGAGATAACCTGCTACATATTGAAAGGTTGGGGTATTATTTTTTTAAAACCAGTTCTAGAAAACCCTACAGAAGAGCAAATACAGGACAAGAATGCTCCATCTAGYCCACACAGTGAGTTTCTAGACTTTGAGGAGACTGAGATGCTTTGAAGCCATGCTTTGTCCTTAGCATGTATCCTGAGGCTGCAGCTTACAAGCACCAAAGGCCAGCCTTCACCTGATGCCTGCCAAGCTCTATACCACCAAAACAGTCTTGTTAACATCCTCCTGCTTGTCCTGAAAAAGGGAAAACAACAACTCTTATTCTACAAAYAAATATTCCTGGTCATGAAGACCTGGAACATGAACTTAAATTGGATGAGATCCACCAGCTGAAAACTGGTTTGCTGGCATGAAGTAGACAAGAACCATAGCAAGACCAAGMAATGAAGCTCTCGGGAGTTCAGACTCCTACCATGAGCCATTCACATCCACAAAGAGAGCACAAAGGTCAGACACAGCATCTTGTTACAGACAAGATGGATTTTTGTTTCGCTACTGGGAAAATGAAGAACTTCATTGTACTTCATTCAAAGAACTTGCACCATCCAGAGACTGCAACATCCAAAARGTGTTGACTACAAAAATGAGCCTCACACGTTCTACCATGCTTTGTCTGTGTAAGACTAAGGGCCAAATCTACAAAACCCAGAATTCCCTGACCTTCCCCTGATGGTTCAAAAACCAGTAATAAAAAACGTAACAGCACCTCTGATTCTTCACTGCAACAGCAATAGCAACACAGTTGTTTAATTCAAATCCAAGTAGACTGGCTGCCTTTGTAGGTGTTTAAATAGTGCCTCATACACAATGCATCAAACCTACAGTGTGTCACACACATGAGGGAAAGTGAGTTTTTAATTTAGGAGCCATATTAGTGCRAGGGATGCTATCACCTGAAGGCAAAACAATGATCCATGCCATGACAGAAACATGTCTGTAAAAACATTGTGTCATAGGAAAAGAATTAAGAGGTTGTTTGGCATGCATGTTGGGGGGTCTTTTTTTTTTGCAATCAGAGTTATGTGGATGTCAGGAAGCCAGTTTTAGTTTTCTAAAAAAAGCAAGACGTCRAATCTTAAGAAGTATTGAAGAGTTTTGGGGAGACCCTGACAGTGTAAAATGAGAAAAATACAAGGATGAAGCTGCCCTCATGAGTTCTCATCCGTCTTTCAATTTCAGTATAAAGTCTCCCACATATCTTGTAGGAGAAAGGTAAACTCCGTCCTAAATCAACTCACAGCCTCATGTACAGCTGCAAGAGGGTACAGGTTAAAAAAATCCCAATTCAAAATTCTTTTCTGTATTTCCCAGCTGAGAAAAGCCGAGCTGATCTTACCATTCAAAAAAGAACAGCTCTGTTTTGTTTTCAGCTACACTGAAACAACAAACATTCAACCACCTTGTCAACAGCAGTGTTGCCTTCGAAAATACACCAGAATCTCCTTAAATCCAGATGTGACTCTACATCAGAAAGGTCCTTTTTGTTTATTGAAAGGCAAGCAGCTTAAAAGCAGGATATCATCTCTCACTAAATATCACCAATACTCATTGTGAGATTTACAGTCCTTAACCTGGTTCCTGTGGGAACATACATGGACCTCCCACATCTTAGTTTACACAACCCTTGAGATGAAGGTAAGTGCTAAGAAAGACAGAAAGAAGAAACAGAGGAGAAAAAAACCCAAACCTTATAGGAAAACAGGAAAAATTATCCTATCACCTTTGAAATTAGACAATCCTTGCCATACTGCTAAAYAGATATATTACTGAAGTGCTGGTTATTTTTTCCTGAAGTTTCCTGAAAGCACTAAACCCTACCTCTGCTTTCAAAAAAATGCTTTTTCAATTCATATGTCAGAGTTTCAATCTCCAAAATCTTACTTACAAAGATCAGAAAATCTAAACTAGGTGTTCTGTCCCCACAGAGGTTGCAAGTAAGTAAAATTTATGTTTGATCCAGTGGCAGGAGCTCAAGCTGAGACCCTGGAAATCCCTACTCCTAAAGGGGATGGGGGAACTAGAACGTAACTAAGGCACAGATGGGATCACAGGCTGAAGGCTTCAGATGTGCCTCAGATTCAGTCATTCATACACTTGGCAAAAGCAAGCCGATTTCAAAATGCATACATTAACAAGAATAGGTGCAGGCCTGCCAGCTAGTTTTGCTACAGATTTTGACAGGCCAACTTTGTAAGGACATGGAAAAGTTCCCTTAAAGAAGGGCATCAGAAAAGCACAGCAGAATTGTTAACAAGCCAGACTTCAYGAACAATTAGCCACAAGAAGACAAACTCATTGAAGTACCATGGAGGATTGAGCAGCTCTCCAGCAGATGGATGAGCACTCTGACACTGCTCATTTCTAGTATGACTTGTCACTACAGAGTTTTAAGGAAAAATTAATGACAAACTGAAGGAAGTTCAGAATWTTCTTTTAATTCTCCTGGTTCTTACAAAACCATATTGCTTAATTAATCTAATAGAGCTCTCATGATCTTCACTGGTTCCTGAACTGAATTACATATTTGATATCCAGACCAGAGGATCAGTCTCTGAAAGGCACCAGTTCCCATTTTCACTTGACAGAACAAAAACCCATTTTGCATTAAGATGTGGTGGTGATCATTCCCAGCTCAGACAAGACTATATTGGRGACTAGAATCACTTCTCAAAAARCMATCACAGAATGGTMTRGRTTGGACAGAAMYTTCAGAGACCATCCCATYCAACATCCCTGCCATGGACCGGGGCACATTTCACYAGACCAGGCTGCTCCTGWTTCATTTYRCTRTTTAGGACATAACCAGTATTTTCTTCAAAATGAACTGCATTCCAGCAGAGTAAGATGTTGCATGTCCAGCTCCTCAGTGACCCTGAATTAAAGCTCAGGGATAATGAAARCTTCTGGAAAACAATGAAACATCAGTGAAAGCAATCCCAGGAAAGAGGGAAGCCGCAGGATGAAAAAGGAAGGAAAAAAAAAGCAATGGGAGACTGATTTTCTTTTGCTGTGTCTTAACACCAGCAGTAGAGTAAAATTAACTGGACAATTGTAGACAGACCAGCTAAATGTCTAAGTCCAGATCTTCATGAAATTCCTGACTTTCTGGGACAACTTGGTGGAATCATCTAAACTCATTTAAATGAAAATTGAAATCTAGAAGGGTCTCCTCCCATGGTACTCCCAAAGAAGCTTTTTCATACCCCTTCAGAGCCCTCCCTCAGCCCATGACAAAGATAACAAATCTATTCAAAACACCTCCCAACTTCGAATAAAACTAAGCAACGCAAGGGTTTGAACAGAAACTGCTTCAAACCAGAGGCACCTGCCATCAGTATTGCTACCATTCCAAAGGCATTTCCCAATTAACTTATAATCAGAATTCAAAACTGGCAGATTTACATGGTGAGTCTTCCTTTCAAAGCAATTTTTCTTTCCTTCCTTACTCTGTTTACCTTGCCTGTTCCACATTTTCATTGGCATAACAAGAAAACGCAGTGAAATARAACTTTAGAAAGGACCAAGATTGTCCTCTGCAATACTGAGAAGTTGACACCGATGGCCACAAGCACTGCTCACTTTAGTGGTGTGAGAGGGGGAAAATGACAATTTCAAGAATTTCAGAATTCCAGAATATCCAACCAAAACCCCAACCCACTTCCCAAGAAAAATAAAACACATGAGCAGTGAGTGCCTATGGAAAAAAAAAAAAAAGAATACTCCTCCTAGGCAACCAAAATAACAAACTTTCCTGCTTGAGGCTCATTTGACATGAGGTTCCTAGACACCTTTGGAAGACTAAAGTATCAATTGTTTTTACTAATTAAAAGTCAAATGTTATATCCCTGTAGCTGGTGAAGAGGCAGTTTTGGGTCTCCCACCACATAATATGAAAGGCAATTACGCAAGCAACTTAGCTTACATTACAAAAAATAAACATGGAGAAAGCAGTATGTTAGACCCAAGAGTTAGAAGAAAGAAAAGAGATCAGATTATGCTGATCATTTAAAAGACATTGTTTTGTTTGGGCTTTTTGTGCAGTAGTTTGCAAAAGTTAAGAGGCTAACAATGTTCAGAGACCAACACTAACATAAAGAAGCAGTAGTTCCTAATACAAAAACATTTTCAATTCAGAGCAGATTACCTTAGAGTTTGGAACCAAAGCACTTTGCCCACAAGATGCAGCAGAAGCCTTACCAGATCAGCACCAGCCTGAAGCAACACATCTGCCACATCTGTGTGTCCATTTTCACAGGCRTAGGTCAAAGCTGTATCTCCCGTCGCTGTAGTGGCATGAACATTAGCTCCTACAAACACAATAGTTTTTTCATATTGGACATGTCCTTATCAAGTATTTCCCATCAGATAAACACAAAAAATCTCTGACAACAGCAATATCCTACTGACTAACAGCCTCCACAGTTCAATAGCAATGCTCTCATGGCAAAAATTGCTTTAACAGTAAAAATATTCCAAGCAGAGGAGGTAAGCCTAGGCTTGGAAAAAGCATGTCTGACAATCTAAGCAGTTAAACCTATATGCTTGTTTATTCCTACAGTCCCTCTAGAACAAGAAGCATTTTAGTTGTTACAACAAGTAAAAGGGAATCCAGACAGTTGTGTAGACTGTCCATCTGATCCAGAGCTGTATGCCAAGGGAAACCAGASAAAATGCACATTATTGAATTAGTATTAATACAACAAGACCATACACTTCTAYATATTTCCCTTCTTTCCAGCTCTTTAAAATAATTTGCTTTAAAACCATTTTGTTGAAATAATTTGTCTAGCTTCATATGCCCAAGCCCTGTGAAAACTATGCATGACTCTTGATATGTAACACATAATTATTAAAAAAAGAAATGCCAATGTGATTAGCCATTTTCTTATTTTTAAGGTGTGAGCTATAATTAGAGACTCCCTGATGGCAAAACAAGGCTCCTTAATCAACTTTCTACACTATCAGCAGTGAAGTGCAAGCAGTGAGCGTTCCAAGGGAGATGGTGACAGGTGTCACATGCCAGTGTCACTACACCAAGTGGCACAGTTGTTACTGTCCCTCGATGAGCAGGGAGCTTTACTTTCTAAAATTACAAATCCAGCCAATTTTACACTTATTCTTAGAAAAGAAAATACAAATAAATYACCTTCCACAACAAGGAAGATTTCCCAAATACAGTTCCTTTTTCTTTATTATTTTAAGCAGAACACTTYTGACTCTACCAACTTTAAAATGAGAGATGAACATTGAAGCAGCATTTTACCCCAAACTTCAGCAAAATTTAATTTTTACTACTGTACAACATAGCAGTAAGGCTCATTTAACACAGAAGTTCAGCAGATTCCAGAATCTGTCTTGCACACTACTTCCCAGCACACCATTCCTAAAGAACTGGTTGTTCAGGGAGACTGAATGCAGATAACCAGACTTARCCAAAGCTGAAGTAGCAAGCAAAACCAAGCATTATCTGTATTAAAATTCTGTCCKAGATGCAGAGAGCTGGAAACAATGCTCCTAATGAATGTGGATACTTTCYAGATACGGAACAGGATCCAGTGCTCCAGGAGGCACTTTACTCTGTTAACAGTACTATCCTCAGTAATTCTGAGGTGCAACATATGCTTTTTCCTACTTGCTAAGTTACCTGAGAATATTGTTTCTTGTAAAACCATTGCCACTATCAAAAGCCCAGGTATCTTCCGAATCATACAGAACACATCAAGTCTATGGTATCTGTGGGCTCAATCACTTGCTCTGAACACATACCTGCTGCCAGCAAGTATTTCACCAGTTCAAGATGACCCTCTTGAGCAGCTTCCATCAAAGGTGTTGAGCACCCAAGCTCTATATCAGCTCCTGCCTTGATAAGGAAGTCAGCAACTTCAGAAAAGCCTCCACAGCACGCCAGGGTAAGGGCTGTCTCCTGTGTTTCTTCCGTCTGTGCGTTTATATTTGCTCCTGGGAAACAAAACAGCCATCAGTGACCTGGGCAGACACTGGCTGGGAAGGTGAATGATCATCAGCCCCACAGCAGTCTGCATGTTCGTGCTCTGCTCTGTGTGTGCAGCAGTGAGCAGTGCCAGCCCCATACTACATCAGAGCAATCTGCACAGGACACCTGCTGGTCATGGATCACACTTTGTTCCTCCATCGCCACGGATCTCACCTTGTGCCAGCAGTAAGGCTACCATCTCTTCGTGGCCTTCCCGGGCAGCTTCCATCAGAGGTGTGTAACCTTCATCATTAACCTCCTCCAGGTTGGCTCCCCGTTCGATCAGAAGCGCTGCCAACTCCACGTGCCCGCCACAAGCAGCCAGAGTGAGAGGGGATTCAAAGGAATCCGCAGGCATGTTCACTTGAGCACCGCTGTCCAACAGCAAGCGTGCCACCTCCACGTGGCCATCCTGCAAACAAAGGGCAAGCCAGGAGTCAGAAACAACTGAAGTCAATTGATGTTGTAGTTGCAACCACTATCATACTAGGTCTAMAAAATGATCCTACAAAGACACAGCCTTTTTACTTATGATGGTTTAGTTATGACAGTTATGGTAATACCTGGATCTAATCAACTTTTAGGTTTCCACYTATATCTAAGTCAGGTTTAAATGCATGAGGAAAAAAGAGCTARATACATATTGGTGTTTTTATTTCCYGAGGAAAAAGGAGTTATGGCATAAGACTTTCGTAAATATCTTGCACAATCTTTGGGACACAACAATACCAGAGATAGCAAATGAATGCCGTAAGTAAAAAACCCAATCCATGACTAAACCTCAAAACAAGCATCAGAGAAAAAAGATTTTCTTATTCTTTATAGTAACAGTTGATTCATGACTTCTACCAACAGCAAAATAAAAAGCCCCCAGTTGGCAACTTCTAGACCTTGGGAAAGATACTTGCAGAGAAGCTGAAGTGGGTTACAATAAGGCAGGTAACAGGAGGAAAGAAGACTTGGAAAAACACTTAAAGGTGACTGAAAAGTACCTTGGGGTAAAGCCAAAGAGTAAGAGAAATAGGATTGCCAGAGCAGTCTGAGTCTTTACCAATCAAAGCACACAGATATATCTGTCAGCTTCTCAAGAAAGTATTGTTAAACTTCTCAGCTACTTGAAATAAACCAAGTACCTAAAATCCACATTTCACCTAAGGTGTAGCTCGTAGAAAGCCACAACATCAACAAAAGGGTTTGAAAGCTTAAGCTGACCATGAAGCAAGTCATACATAACCTGAGATGGACAGCAATCCGGGGTGTACATTGAACACAGGCTGTTGTTCTCAGAGAGGCTGGCTAAAAGCCAAGAGYTGCATCATCAAAGGCACTGTGTGCACTGTCCTGACCAAAACACACTCTAAGACACTTACAACAGGATTGGTGATCAGAGACCAGACATCTCAGCAACCTGTACCTGCTGCATTCCTTAGATGGAAAGAGATGAAGACTGGGAACAGTCACAACAATTTGGTGGAACAGCTCCCTTGTGCAAGGGTGAAGCCAAATGATAATAAGGAACAAATTCCTTGTTATGGAGTGGGGAATTCAAAGGCTCATCTTCCTTTCTGTTGCTTTCAATAGTCAATATACACCCCAAAACATTGGAACACCTAGTCTGAAACACCTAAGAGCTAAAAACACACAGGCAAACCTCACAACTCTCTCCCCCAAGCGAGGCGCTTCACAGCCTCCAAGTCAAACCAGTCCTCGGATTGTTTCACCAGAAAATGAACAAAAAAGCAAACAAAAACCCCAGCCTAAACAGAACAGTGGGCTGATTGACCTTTAGTCTGCAGTCACACTGCAATCTCCTTTAGGTGACAGTATACACTCACTGTCCTCCTGAATTCCTTATTGGCACCAGGCTCTCCTACAGGGAAGACTATTCAAGGATATTATTACAGCTCACTGTCAGAAGGCTTGGACACAGCTTGCCACATTACAACCTGACCTTGGTCTCTTGCATCATCCCCTCACAACTGCACTGAAAGAACACTTGATCCTCCAGCTCTCAGCAGACTGGAGGAACGCTGAAGCCTATCTTCTAAGGATTACASGCTACTGGGAGAAAATTCAGTTTCCCCTCTGTGTTTCCTATGGAAACAAGGTCCCTGTTCTCTCTTCAAAGAAGTTCCCCAGCTTGAAGAAGAGAGAAAGGATCACCCAGAGTCTAGAGAGAAATGGTTGCAGATATGCTTTGACACAATAGCTCACTCTTTATTAATGACGCTCTTGGATAAGGAAGATTTTCATCAATGGCTCCTTTGAAATTATGCAGACAGTTGCTAGAGAACTAAGGACTATATTATTTTTCAAAATAAAATGGTAGGTCAAAAGAAAAACCACACAACCCTATTTACAGAAACTTAGAAGAAAGCAAGTCACTCTCCATGCAAAACACTTCCTGCAGCCATGAACAGACAATTGTAATGCATAGATCATCCAGTTCAGTGCACTTCTGGAAGGCTCATTCCACAATACWCTGAGRGACCTCATTTATAAAAACAAAGGYRGAAAACACACTKAAAAAAACCCCAAAAMCTAAACCCAAAYCAGCGACTTAAACTACTCCACTGCACTATAGGTTAGTCACTTCTACCCTTCACACAGGGAGCATTGAAAACAACGCATCTCTCCCAAAACTTAGAGTATTTTTTCTGTGTAAGCAGTTAGACTGAGAAGCTGGTGGGAGCTACAGTAAACACTTTCTTAGAATAATAACACACATGTTCACTTGCAGCCCCCAAACAGCTTGTTTGTACCCAAGGCTCACTGGATTTTATCACCTCCTGCAGTACAAACAAAGGTATTTACCATGCAGGCCTCCATCAGCGCTGTGTGCATCTCGTCTGTTTTATGTTCTTGATCAGCTCCAGCTTCAAGCAAAAAACGAACCATATCTAAATGGCCTTCAAATGAAACAGATCAAAATGAATTAGCATTCCACACCATCAACTTTTAATAGTACAGACAATACACGAAATCATACAGATTTTCATAGTTTGCTATTACAATCTTTACAAGTTATAAYTGACAAACCCTATTTTAAAGTACTCTTTAAAAAAATGCCAATGCAAACAAGGCAGCAACCTTCAGACAGCCTTTCCCAAAGATACTGGTCAGCCATGAGATGAAGACAGACCTGCTCAATTCAAGTTTACACAAGAATCTTTCCTTGTGACCTCAAGCTACAAGACTGTGCTTATTCCCTCCTGAACAGTGTAGTGACAGATCATTTAAGAGTTTCAAGGCAGCACACAACTGGGAGGRTTATCTTTTAGGGATGGGTCCATGCAGATCTGAACCTAAAGTTAAGCTTTTTAATAACACAGACATATTTCTGAGAACTAAGATACATGCATTATATCATATTATCTGACACTATTTTTAAAAGCTTCTACTGAGCTTTACCAAAACTTGATTTCAACTCTATTGCAGTTTGTCACTTTAGAATTTGCCCCTTCAAATTTTTAGCCTCTTGATGAGCATTTGCCTCCAAGGCAAGACTTAGTCTTACATAAACTGACAGGAAAACAATCAACCATCTTGTCAAAGATAATACAGGACATCTCCAGTCAATCAAGGCCTGGGACTCAATTTAAGTTTTAGGTTGCAAGAAACAAGAATGACCCTCCAACATRTTCAGGGGTACTATTACTGGAATTTCTCTGTAAGGAGCTACCATATGCTGCAGGAATTTCATGACAAATCCAGATGCAAGTCTTCARATAGGTTATACATAGYATKTATGTATCCTCCAATCCTAACCACAGRGGCAAGTGCCTCAAGTTACTATGACAATAATCCACATCCTTAGTTTCTATTTGAAGAAAAACCATTGCTGGAAAACAAACCTTTGGAGCACAGTGGAGTACCACTGCACTGTTACTTTACATAGAAGCTTTAAATAGCAAAAGAAATTAAGTCAAAAGTCCCTAGAAATTCATAATACTAAGGAACTCATACACATTATCCCAAATTACACTGAAGGAGAAGAATCCASTAATAATGGAGGCATTGTCATCCCACCAGGTATTCTAGAAACACACATTCCAACTTTGCATTTTCTGAAAAACTAACAGAGATGTTTTGAGAATTCACAGTTTGTGAGGGAACTGGGAATTAAATTGGGAATGTGGAAGTGGGGGAAGGAGAGAATGGTGGCGTGTCAAAGCACAAGTTTGGACATAGCCAGTTACAAGTCTTCATCTGCAATATGTCAAATCCGCCACATCTGGACACAAACAGACTTAATACTACTATAACACAGATGAGCATTTCCTGACATTGAGTTTATAACCAAAATCCAGTTTTACAAAATTCTTAGGAAAGTATTCAAAGTACTGSTGAAAGTTTCAGTCAGATAAATCTTAGCAAATCTAAATAAAAAAAACCCAAATACTTAAAAAAACATTTTAAAAAACTGTTGTTTAAATACAAAACAAGGCAAGAGACAATACCTTTATAGCATGCGAGTGTAAGTGCACTTTCTTTGAACTCGTTGGAGTGAGTGTTGATTCCTGCACCATATTCCAGCAATACTCTTGCAACCTCGACATGCCCTGCACTGGCTGCTTCCATCAGGGGGGTATGTCCATTCTCATTGTGGTCTTCTATGTTAGCACCAGCTTTCAGTAGCACCTTCACTACATCCACAAAGCCCCCGGCACAGGCGTACGTGAGAGCTGTGTTCCCTGCAGAGGAGAGTGTGCATGAGAGCCCTTTCCATCACCCACTCCTAACACGGGGAAGGAGATCAGTGTTAACAGCTCAGAACAAAACCAGGTACATCACCAGCATCAGCCTTTCACCTCACAGCAACATTACTCCAACTAATCCTTCCAGGCAGGGTATAAAATCCCAACATAACTATAACATGTAGGTATTAATGCTGAGCCAGTATTACAAATCAGGATTTTTATAGTTTGAATATAATGTTTCCTACTTCAGCATACAAAAATAGATCAAATAAACACATGGAAAAAGATCAATGGTCATTTTTACTGTACAGTTTGGGAGGGTTGKTTTTTTTGGTTTTGTCTTTATTTTTTTTTTTGTCTAAGACCATACCCTGTAATTCCTTGAAAAACTTCTACTGGCTGGCTGAGAATAAATTTATAATTTGAAACTCTGGTATTGCAAGTGACAGACACTCACATATGGCTCATTTTTAAATGCTGCAGTCAATTTTAAGGTAAGTTTGCTTAACATGGCTAAACAGCAAGATAAGAGTATCTCATGGTTCAGACTTACAATTTGTTTGAGAATTTGAACAAAGTCTAAATTCTATCCTAATAAACAGAAACCAACTGCAGGCTAATGCTCTCAACAAGGACAGTTAAGCTGTGGTCAAGAACCAGCAAAACAAAGGAACATTCAATGCACTCAAAATTTTAAATCCTCTTTGATAGGAAGAAACAGAAATAACTGGTCTTGATGTGACCCATGGTCATCTTACTSGGTACTTTTGGATTATACAAATAAGAAAAGATAAACTTCATGTATTTTTCTTGTAATCTAACATCAGAGTGGTTTTCACAGGAACAGCGCTTTCCATTAGAATTTATATTAAAACCCATCTTTAATAATGACCAGTTAAGATTCCAAATACATCTGCTACAGATCTGGTCTATTCCTAACAGTTCCTGTCACATTTTCTGTTGAATGAAAGTGTTAGACAAAAACACAGATGTTCAGAAGAGCTGTGTGCCTTATGTGCCAGCCTTACTAACTGTGCTCCTGCTCCCCAGTTACCTGTGGAGGACTGTGCATTGACATCTGCACAATGGACAAGGAGGAGTTTAACAATATCCACGTAGCCTCCGCTGGCAGCTGCCATCAAGGGAGTGATGTCACCTTTATTCCCTCGATCTTCAACGTTCGCGTGCATGGCTAGCAGCACCTAGGGGGACATTTCCCAGTTACAGCGAATAAATTGTAACATCAACCTTTTGKTTTTAGTTCAGTGGGGTTTGTGAGACTGATTCCCCACCCCATCACAGTCCTGCCCCRGCATGAAGCCCACTGCCACCCTCAGGACCATTTACAGTTACTGCCTGCATTGGGCTCTTCTGCAGGAAATCTGGATTCCTACATTTGTTCATATSTGTTCCAGTGAAATGCTAACATTTTCAAAAGTCACAGGGTAACTCACTGACCAGAAATACAGRACAGAAACTGTCACCTGCAATAATGACCAGGGCACCCACAGGTCAAGCTCACAGGTGAGCTCTCACCCTGTCCTCTGTTTKGGCACCAAAATATGAAGTTGGGCATTTCCAAGAACTACCACCTAAACATCTCAAAGCAGCTGCCCTTAGATACAGAAGCATTATAGCTCAAAATGAACAGAAATTAATGCACGTTTGTTACAAATGTGATCTTAAAAAGGATTGTGTGATTGAGACATGAGTTTTTAGAAGCCAACCAATTGTAATATTTGGGTTTGCTGCTATTTTAGACCCTCAGGCTTGGTAGAACAGTTGGACTGCATCTAGAACAATGCCAGAAAAGTAGATACATCACAAAACACAGGATTTCTTAGACAAGTCCCTTCAACCTACAGGCATATATGACTGCATTTTCCATTGAAGAAATCCAAGCARTAACTGGAAACCCACAATAAGCTGTATTCACTGATATTCTGTTGAAATAATGAATTATAATAACCCTAATAGCTAAAATGTTTACCGATCAAAGAAGCCCCTCAGACAATGTTTCACAAATGTTTAGTTCTAACTGTACTTTACTTACTTGTGCCAATTCATAATATCCTGCTGAACAGGCCAAGCAAAGGAGACTCTCCCCTTCTTCAGTATGYTCATTTACGCTTCGTCCTTCATCCAGCAGCTTCCGGACAGCATTTACATCCCCRTCGGAGCATGCTTCTGCCAAACTGCGACTGCAAAATCAGTTACCACACAGTGAGCTCAAAATATATCTGCAATAGGTGGGCACATTTCCTAGGCAAGGAGGAAGCCTTTAAGAAAAGACTCTTGACTTCAATGCTAAGCATTACTTGAAAATACACCTTCCAGATATATATTTTTTTAAATGTATATATATACGCACACACATTATTTCCACAGGTGAAATAGAGATAGGCATTTTCCTTATTGTCAGAATTAGCTTGTTCTCATCAGTTGCTAACTCATAATATGCTCTCAATACAGACCAGATGCAGATAGGAGTGCTCAATGCTGGTTTTCATGGTGTTTGCAAGACAGGAGTAAACCTTACTAATTCTATTCCCAGTTCTGGGAATGCCAAGACACACAGAGGCTGTGATCATGACAAACTGCTGACTGTAGGTGCCAAGACAAATTCCTAACACAGACAATGTTAAAAAGTCAGTAGCCAAGTGGTCACAGAGACCACTAAWATGAATACTGCAACCAGACAAACATCTGTAACTGAGAGCAATCACCTWCTCTTCTACAGCTAAGAACTTAAACTTTCTTGAACTAGAAATCAACTGTCTGATATACAGAAAGAACATCAGGTTACGGAGTAACATTTTTTTGTACTTTCTTACCCTGTGAAGCCAATAACCTGAGGGGCCAGTAGCTACACCTTCAGRTGCAACACCTTTGCTTCTGCTAGTAGTAGAACAGCTCTACTACCAAGCGCTAACCACAAAATTAACTGAATGTGATATAAAATTCCATTCTAGAGCTGGGGAACTGGGGGTGGGGGCGCTCAGTACATACTTGTCCACTTGTCCTGTGTTGTGATTGTTCTCGGCTCTCATCCGTGTCAGCGCAGCGGCCGCCTCGTCCAGCGCGCAGCTGACGGACGACGTCAGTCTCCGGAGAACCTCGGGATCTGCGAAGGCTTTGCCATCGGCAGTGGACAATTTACCAATTCCTTCAGTGCATGTTCGTTCATCAGTCAGGTTAGTAGGAAAGTCACACAAAAGAAATGCAAAGACACTATTTTAGAGTTCAGCCACATGCACTATTAGTTAAAAATCGTTTGCAAACATGCCAGAAAATTAGCCACTTAAAACTAAACTATCTGCTAACATTTATCCAAGATCTGAATATTTGATTAACTATAACATAGCAGTAAAAATCCCATGTCTTGAAACTGGCAGCTTTGATACTTGTCCTAAAGTGTCGACTCATATCATTGAAGAATTTTTTTAAAACCCAAAAAAAACATCATATTGGGAGAATTCGGACACTGAAGCCCAAAACCAGAAGTTTGGGAAACAAGCTTGGTGTAATATTTTCTGAATGTGAAGAATTTTTCAACTTGAAACACTTATTACCCCTTTCCCACCCAAAACAAAGCAGACTGAGCTCTAATGTATCTTTTTTTTAGGAGAAGGAAAAAACTTTAAAGGTTATTAAATTCCCAGCAATTTACCACTCTAAACTGCCCAGCTCTAGCTACAGGCACAAAAGTTACGAAATGAAATTTCAAATATTTTAAGTTTACTTGAAATCAGTGGCTCTCCTTCACAGACATAACACAGTAGAAATGCTTAAGATTCAAGGAACTTGCTTAACAATTTGTCTTTTTGTAACGTTTCTTTGCTCAAGTTTTACTACACACAGGTTTTGCTCCTTACAGYTCAGCACAGCCTATTTAACATGTGCAGTCACTGCAGTGTGGCAGGGCTTGTGTACATGTATCTTCATGCACAAATGCGCAAATAGTACAAACACTTCCCTGCAATCCACAAAAAAACCCAAATATAAATCCATTTCATGTGCTACAAAAAGCAAATGGCTACTGGTTTATAGATCAGCRACCTTCATCAGTCATGAATCACTAACTTTTCAATTCCTTAGCTGTTAAAAAGAGTCAGATTAGATACAAACCTCTGGAAATAAGGTACCTTATCCGTCAGAAGATTTGCTATTTGGTACATGCATATCTCTGTAGGTTTGATTTACACCACATTTTCCACAACTCAGCTTGTAATTATTACAAAATWAATACCAAAATCATATTTTTGGTTTGAACATTGTCTTCAGACAACATAATTCTCTAGTTTGAGAGCATCCAACTTGCTTCTCAATAATGTAAGAATGAATACTTACCACATGTGTCCACCCTAAACCTCTTTATGCCAGCACACACCAGGCATGCTGTGTGATGTTACCCTGAATGGGTGGTGCAGTGCTCCAGTGCTGCCTGACAGCACTGAACATGGTGCTGCTGGAAGTGATGGAGACCCCTTCCCCTGCCATTGAGACAGACACCTCTCCTGGGGTGTCAGACATTGAGACAGACACCTCCCCTCCTTAGCTTACAAGGAGCAGCAGTTTACTTGGCCGATGGAAAYGAGCAATGAAGGCTCAATGAGTTGCTTAAGAGAGGAACGCACCTTCCTGGCTCCAACATCCTATGTCTGGATCCCTTCAGCATTGTCAAGGTGTCACTGAAGGGGCTATGAAAACCAATTAATAACTAATTACTCACTCAGCAATGAAGTCAGAAATCACAGCTTGATCTGTCTGGGGTTGGAAGCCTGGCTAGTCCAGAGCAATCTGAGCACAGAAATGAGAGGCCATGGACACTTTGAAGAGGCCACTGGTTACAAGCCCCCTTCTACCTCCAAACTGTAGAGGCCATCACCCTTGCAGCCATCACTGTTAAATACAGCAAGATTATAAACAAGCCTCAAAAGCTCAGCCTCATGTATTAGCAAAAACTGAATTTGCTGGTGGTGTACAGGGGTTGGAAGTCCTATCATCTCTGCAACTGGAGCGGGTGGGACAGTCAGTGCAAAACTGGGTCAGGACAGCAATTTAGTACCAAACACACCAAGAGAGTGATAGCTTTTACACAGCTCTGCCTCCTCAGGATGGCTCACAGAGAAACTGCTGAGATGTTTACACTAGCTATTTCTGGTGGCACTGCTGGCTTACRCTGCCTTGCAGTGTACATAAAGCACTGCTGAAGGAAAGACAAAGAATTAAGTCTTCACAACTCAGCACTGAGGCCTCACCTGGAACTGCTGCAACCAAAGCTGAACACTGTGGTAAACAACCTGGAAAAGTACTCGAGAGAAATCCACRGGGCCCCAAGCAAAGGCTAAAAAATGTGTAGATTTAGCTTACAAGGAGCAACACAACTGCAGTTTCCCTCCACCTTAAAATGGTCTTGAAGGAGCCGTTAACAGCTCTATTGTTGGCAAAAGGAGTGAAAAATATGAAGTACAGCCAAATGAAACCAACCCAAAAAACTACCAAAACACCACCACCAAAAYCCCACACAACCCAGAAGCCAAAGTGACCTGGCCAGATGCAACTACACCGGATATCTSCATCATTTCAAGGCAGTAGATCAGACAGCTTGCCTGCATAAGCAGAACCTACACTTGACACTCTCTCTGTTTTAAAGTTTGTTGTGGCATTCATACCTGGGATTTCTGAAGGCATATCTCCTGTGCCTGGTAAAGATAAATGAACTCGACCCACTAAGGAGCTCCTATTCCTATTCCTATTCCTATTCCTATTCCTATTCCTATTCCTATTCCTATTCCTATTCCTATTCCTATTCCTATTCCTATTCCTATTCCTATTCCATTTCATGAATTATAACTGGTAGTCTCCTGGAGGACTCACCAGCCACAGCACTGGCTCTCCCTTCTGGACAGTCAAACACACTTACAGCTCACTCTAGTTTCCCACTTTGTTCCAAAAAAACAAGCTATAACCACACCAAGGCCTTTCAGAGGGTAAGTGGAAGATGCCTTTTATTTACCTCACCAGCTAGTGCTCAACCCAGGTGCCATCCCCAGCCCTTACATCCATACTTTAATATTGCACATGCCAAAGCTAATCAACAGCCACGGGAGACATCAGAGCTGACATTTGTTTGGCTGGCTGGAGTAAAAAGGAGACAGATTACAAGAATTACCATGGCAGACACCCATTCACTCGCTCCCCTTTTGCACATTATATGTCCACAATTCACTATATAGTAACAATTTGAAGTTTTTATTTTGCTGTGATTTAGGATGACTATGCCARAATCTCAATGCTGTAATGCTCATGTATCTTTTAATCTCTAATTTATTTAATTTTCTGTCCAAACCACTTGCACTTGTGTCACTCTCATACACACAGGGACTGCAGCAGTCTGATTTATGTGCAGCATCCAGGCCAAAATTCYTGCCTCCTCCCATCCAACAAATACTGAAAGCATCCTCAGGAACATTCTACACACCCTTGTACCAGAGTGATCACAATTTCTCACATTATTACAGTTTCTCTATTATGTTACTGATCTGACACTACCTGAACCGAACTCAGTGTCTGACATTCTGTACTTCCTGGAATATTACACAAGCCTCTATAGAGGCCATCCTTTCCATCTTTTCACAGACTGAGCACTGTTGCAGGTAAAGTCTGAAAAGAGAATATGGGACCCACTGTTTTTTACTGAAAACAGTCTACAGTCATTAATCTTATTGAGATGGTGATGTTCCTAATGCAAAATTACAGCTTACCACTAAAAATTTTGGAGAGCATGTTCTTAAGCAAGCCAAAATGAAGTGCCTTCCTTCATCCAATGTGAGCTCCCATGCAAAGACAAAAAGGGGAATTCGAAAACAGCTTCAACAGAATTACTGTAAACCCTGTGCCTTCTACCAACCTAASAGCAGTGGCCTTAAAGTCCCTGTTTAAGGACATTCCTGAACAATAGACAACTGGAAGAACAGAGAGTGGAGAGACTATCACCTGTACTGTGATTTGCCTACTTTTCTGTCTGCAGGGAAAAGCAGGGCCACTGCAGGACCTGTGGAGCCAGACACATCTTCACATCTTCTGTGCTGGGGCAGTGTTTCATCCAACACTTGCTGCTGGAGCCACGTGCCAGCTGCTCACAAACCTTGGCAGGAACAAGGCTAACAGCACTATCCAACAATGGAAGAGGGAGATGACTGAACTCAGGGCCAGATAATGCCAGATSTTCCTTCCACACCTTAATGCCATATTAGTGAACTATTTAAATTAGTCTGAAGTTGATTATAGAGGTGTATTAGAACAAGGAGYTCACCTTTCAAGGGAAAAGCTTGCTCATCAGATATACATCTACACTCCAATAACCAACACTCCAATTTCCTTGTTGACTTTCAGACTCATCATGGTATTCCCACCTTGTAACTACCAAGGTTAGAGTGTTAGGATAACCTGAAATAAGCTGGTAACTTTTCAGTGTGATCTGAGTTTAACAAACCAAAGATACAGATATCACCTCAGAAAAAATGGAACATCAACAGATTTGTGCCTTTGGAAAACAGTTCCCGAAAAGGGCATAGCTGGTGTCAACATATACTTTGAATATCAAAGGAGACAGCTCCAAAAAGATCAACATATCCAAAAGCAAGAGATAATGCCCAATAATCCTCACAAAAAACCTGCAAATTCAGTGGTGATTATGTGCTTTCCCTGTCAGTTTCAGCACACWGCATGTTCTAACACACATTGGAGGACATTTACTTGTAACATGTTCAATTTATGCTCTCACGTTCACCACGAAGTCTAATTCAACTTCAGTTCATACAGGATCACCTACTGGTTTTTAAGGGCTTACACACCCCAAAGACAGGTTGTAATGAAARTGTGGACAGGTTTAAAAGACCAAAAGAAGAACAAAATGAGAATCATGGCCCAGAAAGGTGTCTCTTACCTTTTTAACAGTATGTCAGGAAWCTGCTCGTATCAGCTTGGTGTACAAGTACCACCTCAAACAAGGTGAAGAGGCCTCAAGGAAGGAGAGGGGGGGACTTTGTTTTGGGTTCTTGACTGGACTCTCATTCAGAGGAATTGAAAAGTTCTAGACTGTCCAAAGCAACTGCAACAGCCTTGTGCCAATAAGCAGTAACCCTACCAGMACAGTGTTAC